CCTGAAGAGACCCAGTTTCAAGAAAAGGTGAGAGAGAGAATGCTATGTCAACAGGTGAATACCAAACCTGATAACCTATATTTTCAGATATTGTGCTAAAGTGATACGAACGTTCAGAGAAATGCTTCTGGAGCGATCATATTAGTCTTCACTGGTCTCGATTAAGCTTTGTGAATTAGCCATATTTGACTCAAAATAAATTTTCGATTTTGCTTACGAACCAACATTTAGCAAATGATCCCTTTAACAGATAACGTAACCTTTCACTTGAAAGTCTATAAAGCAGCTCGTCCCGCACGACCGCTCTATTGGGCATGCATCGCATTCGCGAGCGGGTTCTCTGACCAATTCCCTACCCTGATTAGCAATCGAACCTCGCTTGCGAGCTCTTTCCCACGAACCTGCAAATATGATTAGACGACATGTTCGTGAACGCTGCGCAGGGTCCAAGTGAGGCTGCGCGGGATCCGAGCAGCCCAGTCACTCTAAGCGAGATGGAGAGTATATATGACCCTCACTTGTTTGGACCCAAGTTCTGTAGTATGCACGGATAACAGAGAGGGTGAATATGGTGTCAGGAGTGATCTATTTCATCAAATGTTCATTATTTGGAGACTAGTTGGCAAACCCGGCTTCGCCCGGGCCTGTCAACAATATATTTGTAATCAGCATGCTCGATTACCCCCCTCCGCCAACTCTCAGCCCTGTAGCTCAAATTTTGTGAAAAATCGATAAAATCGATCTCGATCGATAACGAAAAGTAGCCTATGACATGCTCCCTGCCCCGAAGTATATGTGTGCCAATTTTGGTCCAAATCGGTTCAGAAATAAAAATTTCTATTCCGCACATACGTACAGACATACAGTCATACAGACATACAGACAGACAAACAGACATTCAGCTTTATATATAAGATAAGCACAGAAAGAGTGGGTTTTTCTGTGGTCGCATCAAAGAACTTTATATTTGCTAGATGAGTCAAAGCCTTTCACATTATACAACATCGTGTAACTCGCCATGAAAATGTTAGAATGCCGATTGAAGTGAAGATCTCATCGTCAAAACCCTAAACCTGGTACGCAAAACGTTGGAAGTGATTGGCTCTCATGGCTTTGACAGTCTTTGACGAATTCTCTCGAGTTCATTTTGTTCCTAATACTTGACATTTAAATGGATACACAGTGTCTTTTCAGACTGAAGAAGTCGGTGACCGAGGAAACTTCGGTGTCATATGCTTATCTCTGCGCTGTAAATAAGCCAATTGTTTATTTTGGCCTCGCATTCAAATCGCGTCGCCTTGTGAAAAAAAACTTGCTTCCAACGGTCGAGAATGAGGTCAAGCAGCACACATTGATTCAAAACGACTCCATGTTTTTGAATGTCCTTACGGTTTCGGATGAAACTTTGAATTTATTCTTCTTGAAGCTTTGAGACCGGCCATACTTTTCCTGTGATTCCTGCAATTCCTGTGATTTTAACGGGTTCCGCTACAATGTATATTGCGAAAAACAATATACCGGTACATCGGAAGAGGAATCACAGGAATTGCAGAAATTACAGAAATCGCCGGAATCACCTCCTGGAATAGTATGGCCAGCCCCTTTGACTCTACTGCAAATCTGGTAAAGTGGTATTTGAAGGACCAGGTGGTGTGGCGTGAAACCTTTTTTTCATTCTAAACTTTTTCCACAGATTCCATTACCAATCTGACAAATTTGAAGAACAGACAGAAGGTAAAAACAGCATATTTGATTTTCTCCTGGACATGAGTATTTCCCACGAAAGCCATAATTTTCTCAGAAAAAGGAGGGTTTGGGACCGAATTATCATTCTTGCAAGGGAATATTTTGAGCTACCTACTAAATACATATTTGGAGCGGCTTCGAGATTTTGAAGGCAAGTTGGTGGATCAGATACAAGGCTAAACTCAGGCTGTCTAACATTCTAATGCGTAGCGTCTAAACCTATCACCTTTATCCTCATGTTGTTACCCTCTTACCCAATTTTATGACGCTCGTCAGCACACACCGTTAAATTGCAAATTAGATGTTTGGGCTTCCGTCGAATTGTTTGGCTTTGTGATAGTCCACTAATGAACTCAATGTGAAAATTGCGGAGGTTGGAGTTTTGAGCACACTTAACATTGCAGCAAAGTGATGGCTGGTGAGGCTGCTTTGGGGTTGCCATGCAGGTCTGTATGGTACCTCAGAGTTGAGCAATCAAGCTTCATTTCAACACAACTACAAACAATAAAGATGTAGATACTGTGAATGCGTATGTTTGCCATTGGAGACACTCCTAAATCTTCTTATAGTTGACTATGGCGACAGCAATCCATTATTTTGGAACGATATGAGATGAAATTGTTAGCATAGTTCAGTAAAGGTTATTACTTTGTTATGAGTATAAAAAGGCTGACAATACTTTTTTTGAAACTAACTCAGTTATGTTTGAAAATGAAGTTTTTCAGATGCTCAGGAGCACTTCAAATCGTATAGTCGTCCTCCCCCCACTAGACACCTAGTGGACGAATTCGAATTTGAAGTAGAGCACGCCGTATGCGGCAGAGCGCGGTACCTGCAGCCCTCACTTTGATCTCAAACAGACGTCTTTGTGTTTTCGGAACGTTTCATCCTATTTTTTGAATGTTAGCAGTCTTCTTAACTGGATTGTAACTTTGTTAGTCTTGAGTGATGTTTCCTGCTACTATGCTCGTTATTTGAATTCTGATTTCAAATTTAGCTGAAATAAAAACCGAAGAAGCGAGCATAGTAGCACGAAACATCGCTAAGCAGCAACAATTTCGTCGATTTTGATTACAAACATCACTGAAACGAAAAATCACCATGCAACGACGAAGAAACTCCAAAGAATATTGGATGAGGTTGAACTGGAGTTGACAATGCCGCGCTCTGCCGCAATCGGCGTGCTCTAGTCCAAATTCGAATCCATCCACTAGGTGTCTAGTGGGGGGAGGACGACTATAGCAGGTGTTGCTTCCAGAATTCGTAGATGTAATGTGATACACGTACTTACGGAATCACGACCATTCATCATGGCAGGGTCTTTTTGTTGATTTACGGTAAGGATGAAGTTGTGGAATACTGAAAATTATATGGTGGAGACATTGGGTTTGCTGTTCTAACCGAATGTAATCCTTACGATAATCAGTAAATTTGTGATTTTGGTAAGGGTATGATTCGATCTACCGTTTTTGTTCTTACCTTGTCTGAGTGGTAATTTTATTTCTTACAAATCGTTTTTTGTCAGAGCCCGACCATGAGTCCGTTCATATGCCTTTCAAAAACGAAGTCACTTCTGACTTTTGCAGAATTTTCGAAGTCCTCTTTGACACCCTTATCGACAACGTCGACTAGAAAACCGTACCTGAATTGTGTTTTTTTACCCACAAAAACGATACCCCCTTTGCTTTTCGCTCCGAAAACGAAGTCCAGCCTTCTTCTAGACAATCTATGCGAGTCCTGCTTCTTGTCCCTCCTCCTCTAGGCACTCCCCGATGACCCTCGGCCGGGCGTGCCATGAGGGAATGCTGAGCACCGGTTTCCTCACAACTTTCAAGCGTCTTTATCAAATCCGAATAATCATTTTTGTGGATTAGACTGAGAGATTACACTCAATCTACACCAAAGAGTACGCACAAGATAAAATTATTGCGTTTGCTCCACCGAGCGATGGGTTTTTTACCCTGCAGCATTTTGCGCTACTATAACTGCTCAGACAATCGACCGGACCCCTCCGCCGGACAGTCCCAATCTGCCAGAGTCGCGCCGGACCCAGTTGACCAATGAGAGAGGGGCAAATGGGCGGTCCGTCGCGGTGACATCACTGGCAGGCAAGTGGGAGGCTTCTCCGGCCCTGCTGCAAAGGTACGCCATTTCTCCGGCGCACTCTGCCAGATTTGGCGGACTCGCGCCGGAGAAATTTCCCCGGCGCGAGTCCGCCAGATTTGGAAGAGCCGCGCCGGAGAAAATCGAAGGGGTCCGGAGCAGAAATGGGAGGCCTCCGGAGTAGAAAATGGGAGGTATCCGGAGCAGAAAATGGGAGGCCTCCGGAGCAGAAAATGGGAGGGCTCCGCCGGACAAATGGGAGACCCACCGCTGGGGAAACGCCGCGACCCTGCCATTTCTCCGGCGGAGGGGTCCTATCCGTTGCCTGAGTGGACTCAAGGCACTTATATTCCCATTCATTGGCTGAACACATTTGCTACCCATTAATCCTCAAGTGACTACATTTGAAAGAGACTTGCTCAATAAGGGGTGGTGCGGGGGTAACCAAAGGACTGCCGCCTGTATCCGCAGGAGATAATTGAGAGCGCAATGGCTGTGGAGAATACTTTGGTAAGGATCCAAGAAGACTTGGCAAGGATATGCTTTGGAACAAATTATTGAAACATGGTTGGAATCAGCTTGGTATTTAAAAAAAACTCGTAATAGAAATTGGGAGACACAGTCATTGAGCGTTGAAAAACCGCGCTTTCAGTTAAGAATTTATTCTTTTTTCCATGAAATAAGGGAGTAGTTGACATTTTGAGTCAATAATCTCAGAACCTTTCACCATTGAACCTGAATATCTCAGTCTTCACTTCTCAAATTTCCCCATTACGCTCGCGCCTCTTGTATTCCCTGCAGTTATATGCGGCAGACCTTTGATTTTTCCTGCATCGCCTCCTTCTCAATAACCATATCCCAAATATTTGTTACTTACTTCAAACACTGTGATTTTTGCAGCAGACATAATCTGTCTGACACTGAGATGATAGATAATATTAAACCGGTAAAGGTAGCTCTACACTGTTCAATAGTTCGGTGAAGAAACATATCTTATTTTGGTTACCGTTAGTAGCACCAACCCATCAATTTTGTAAAAGACACTGAATGCGTTTGTTACCACAAAACCGGAATGTTTTTAGACCAAGAACACAGTATATAGAAGAAGACCAAACACAAATCTTTAGACTTCAGCCATTTTGAGTATTACAATGCACTGCAGGTAGGTATGTTTGATTTCGCCGACCTAATCCAAGTTCACTTTAGAACACTTTTGGCACTCTTGTTAGTAAAAATCGCAGCTACAACAGACATAGAAGAAAGTCCCTTGCCAAGCAGAGATGAATCAAATAGATATTACGTACATGTAAGTGCGCGTATCTCCACATTCGCTTCAAATGAGAGTACCCTAAAACCTCACAGATAAGTCCTTCCATCAGATAAGTCCATCTACAGATAAGTCCGCCTTCAGATAGGTCCGCTTTTTTGACTCAGTTAAGGTCCTATAGATAAGTCCGCCTACAGATGAGTCCGTTTTTCCCAATTATTACTACCCTGAAATCTTGTCACATAAGTCCGGACTTATCTGTAGACGGACTTACCTGATGGGGAACTTATCTGCAAGAATCTCGGCGGTGCGAGTGTGCATTTTCATCAATTTTTTCTGTCAAAAAAGCGGACTTATCTGTAAGATTTTAGGGTAATTCGATTATCAGATTCATTACACGCGTTGTTACAGAAAATTACACTGCCTTATAATCCATCGCGAACAGAATCACAAAAACTGGAGGATTGTCAAAAACTGGAATTTGTGCACGTCTTCCCACCGGAGTTGACGGCAAGAAGTTTCCTTACGAGTCCTTGTTTCTGACCTGAGATGGGCAGTTCAGGAGGATCAAATTTGTGAGCGTGTTGTCAAACTTAATGACTGGATGAGTAGACAGATAGAAGCCGCCAGCGAGAAGGTTAGCCTTATAAGCACCAAAAAAGAAAGACGAAACTTTTAAGTTGTAAAGAAATTTCCGTACACCTGCGAGAAGTACAAGTACATTACTAGAGGTTATTGTTACATCATTTTCACAAAAAGCCACAAGCCTTGTATGTGAAAAACGTGAGCTCTGTTGTTATATATCGTCGATCCGTTGACCGCCGGACCAAACTCACTGCGGAACACGCGCCGTGAGGTAAAACGCTTGTCTCAGTACAAAGTCGCCATTGTAGATACAAGTATGTAGTCCGCCGCAACACCGCCGCGCCGCTGGTAGTTCGCAACCTTTAAGCAGTTCGTGCGGTCAACAAATCGACGGTACTACATTCCTTCCAACTTTACATAATGGTTTCTTAAGGTAGGGAGGTTAAAGGAAGCGTCCCGGCAAAAAGCGGTTGTGGCAATGTTGAAGCAGACACCCTGCCTAAGCGACTGAAGTTCGGAGCGACAAAGGGGGTCTACCAACCCTAAAAGTGGTCAAGATCTTACGGCCGCCCGCACAGCGATTTCGAACTGCAAGGCCAGAGCACGCATCTCGCGCGGTCTTCTTGCAAAAACGCACCTCCGTGCACGTGCAAGGCTGCGTATTTGTTGCAAATGACAGCGGAGGACGCCCCTATTCGGCGACATAAAGTCCTCTATCTACCTCGCACACAGTCATGGGGACAGGATCCTGCAACGACTTTGCGTCTCTACCTTGCATGCATCTCGCACTCCCCGAGCCTACCGTAAGATCCGGGCCATTTCGGGGCAAATTTCAGGCCTGGTAGACCCTCTTTTCGCTCCGGACTTCAGTTATCGCTCAGGTAGGGGGTCTACTTTGACATCGCCGCAAAAACCCGGCGCTCATCTTTTTACCAGGACGCTGCCTTTAAGGATCACCAAGTAAGCTTAGGAAATGGGGAAAACTATATAAGGTGTCCCAAATAATATGCACACTGTTTGATTGTAAATAAATCTCTTGTAGTGAAGTGTTTCGAGAAGCTTTAGGTACCATTTTGTAGAGCGAGGTTCAACTTAGATTTACGAGCGATCGGCGAATCGCCGATCGCTCATTCTTACTGTAGGAGTACGGTAGAAACTCCAAACATATGGTGTCACTGTGAAAAAAGCGGCCGTTTCAAAAATTTTCAAAAAAATGTGTAAACCTGTGTAGTAGGGTCTTTATGGACCCTGAGTTCAATACCCAACTCCTTACAAGGTTGCAGAGCTTTCTAAACGGTGCAACCGCACTTTTCTAGGAACATTGAAAAAATGGCCGCTATTGCTTACCTCGCATAATTTTTTAATGAGCATTACGAAAAGTTGCAAACTTCACATTTAGAATCAGACTTTAATTAGCCCAGTGTGAGAGTTTTCAGGTTGTTTTGGTTCCTTTTTGGAACAAAATATGGCCTTTCATGGCCCAAAACCCTCTTCAAAGTTTCTACCGTACTCCTACAGTAAGAATGAGAGATCAGCAATCCGCTCTACACTGTAGATCTAAGTTGAACCTCGCTTTACAAAATGATACCTAAAGTTTCTCGAAACACCCCACCACAAAAGAGTTATTTACAATCAAACAGTGTGCACATTTTTTGGGACACCCTGTATATTGAGTGGTAGAACCACTTTTGATCTCAAGATGATTTACTTCATGGTATGAGTGGCTGAGTCAAACGGAGATGAATAAGCTTTGTATACTTCACCTAGCTCGTATCTACCTATTGAGCATTATTCGAGAATGGTCAGAAGTCGAAGTGGTCAATCCAAACAGGCTGCAAACCGTTAGATGCAACATGAAGCGCTGACTCTAAATCTGTCTTCCTTATCTGCTTATCACTTTTTTGGACGAAGTTATAAACCATTAAAAGCCACTATTTTGCTAGGAAATCATGGAAAGTGAAACTTTGGCCGTACAAAGCCACGTTCGGCTCAATGCTGGGCCTAAACTGCAACTAGGTTACTTTAAAACCTTAAAGCCTAAAGCTGAGATGAAGCAACAATGTGCTCAATTTCGCAATTTTTATGCACGACTATTTCGCAATAAAAATGCTTGTGGCTTCGACGACAGAAGCGATAAGCAGATAAGAAAGACAGATTCGAAGTCAGCGTTTAATGCTGCATCGAATGGTATAAAGCTTGTTGGTTCGGCCACTTCGCCTTCTGACCATTCCCTTGTAAGCAACACCTGCTTCGAAAGTGCTGAAATTCGAAAAGCACAAATATTGGACTGCGCATTGACTGAAGGCAGTAATCCAAAAATTGATTGCGCTTTCTCCTGTGCGTTTTAACCTTGCATATCAATCTTGAATAATTGAAGCACAGAAACGCATGTTGAGGTACGCGGCTTTTACGAGAGGGCATATGATTGGTTTGAGTTACCAGCCATAGAACAGCAACGTCAGGTAGCTCCGATTTTCATGCGTTTCACGGTGCTGTCCTTGAGAACTTCGCTTCAGCGCGACAACGTGATGAACACCTTGAACGATGTTGAGAAGGAGGAAGTTGCGCAGCTAGTAGAACGCACTTCGGTAAATAAATTACTCTGATTCACCTGTGAATAAAAAGCATCTTTCAGAAAAAAGTGGACGAGGATCCGGTGCTCTCAGCCCATCGTTATTTCCACTCACCTCAGAGAGTCATTGAGGAAATGGAAAGAAGTCATGCTAGTCCTTGAAAGATCGAGATTTTTAGCGTGAAAGTGGGAATGAATTATTATGAACAGAAGTTAGATGCAGCTATTGTGTAACCGATTCATGTATGTCACACTTCCTCTGTTAAGTAAAAAATCTCGCCCATACATTGTTATCAAACACTTCGTAACGTTGTTTTGTTTCGCGCGTGAAGAAGTATGATAATATGAGCTGTCTCTAAAAAATTAGTACAGGTTGCGAAAAGGCTCTGTTTTCAGTTTTATTGAGTATCAGTGGTGTTTGGCTCCTCATGAGAGCGGGAATAATCCATGCTACACAAAATAGCTTCGATTGATCAAAAAAATTACCTGAAGAAAATTTGTATGATAATTGATTGTTTGGAAAATCTAGAATGTCACAATTTATTCAAATATTAAAAAATTCTATAAAATGTACTCATTATTCGCTCATTCGCTCAAACCCACCCCATCGATTACTCGAATTTTAAACTTTTTTCTTACAATTCGATTACAATCCTCCCTTTTTGCCTACATCCCTTCAACGCCCTACTGTCTTACATGAAATGGATAGTGATTAGCAGAAATATAGAAAAACACAGAAAAACACATAAAAAAGGGAATTATCTTATCCAGGAGATCATATTAGGTTGGTGCAAAAGTTCTGTCGTTTCATTTTTGAAAAATCATAACTTTGCGCTGTCACAACGGATTTACTTCCTTATAATTTTATTAGAAAGAGTAAGTCTTTCGCTCTCGATTGCTGTTTTGCTGAGCTTGGGTTTCACACTGGGTGCGGAGATAAAAATGGAAAATAAGACCATATAAGCTTTGACCATTTTAAGTTAGGTCACCAAAAATCTGGAACGCTGCAAAAAAATCTGAAATCGTCAGTACATATGTTTTTAGGCCTACCCTTTGCATGTGTGAAGAGTTTGTGCTGTTTGGACGTCTCTGTGAGAAGTTATGTATATCGAGTTTACTGTGAAAAACGCCAAAATCAATTAATTTGCCACTTTTCGCGAAAATCATAACTTTTCACAGAGACGTCCAAACAGCACAAACTTTTCACAGATGCAAAGGGTAGGCCAAAAAACATATGTACTGACGATTCCAGATTTTTTTGCAGCGTTCCAGATTTTTGGTGACCTAACTTAAAATGGTCAAAGCTTATATGGTCTTACTTTTCCATTTTTATCTCCGACCCAGTGTGAAACGCAAGCTCAGCAAAACAGTAATCGAGAGCGAAAGACTTACTCTTTCTAATAAAAATATAAGGAAGTAAATCCGTTGTGACAGCGCAAAGTTATAATTTTTCAAAAATGAAACGACAGAACTTTTGCACCAACCTAATATTTCCAACTATGAGAAAGCGAACCACATTCTGCTCACAATCAAAGATCAAATTGTGTATTTACGATGTTTCGAATGTACCTAACAAATAATACAGTATTTTCTCTGCCCAAGGCAAAATGTCGACTAACACGCTTCGGACCGGAAGGACACAAAGAACATCAGTTGCAACGAAGTGCGGCAACGCGAACGACGCGTGCGACGTCGCAACTTTTCTTTGCTCCGATTTCAAAGAGAAAAACCGTAATTTCAATAATGGTACCGTGACAACATAGATACTTTTGATTACTATTAGAATCTGAGTTCTTGTTTCCATCTTTCAAAAAAGCACGGAAGTCCCTCTCAAGCGAAAAAGTTTAAACACTCCAAATTCACTCGGAATTTTGAGTACGGAGCTTACCTGACATGCTGATTACAGATGTAGCCCACAGTCTACGAAATAAGGTTCCTTTGTGGGCTAACGGTTGAAAGTACACTCTTTTTAGCCGCGCGCGATTTCGCGGCCCGAGTGCTAGTAAGGAATTTCACTTTTCCTAGCCTATACGCACTAAATCACAGCTCTTGATTGTCGCTGAGGCCGTTGTTTGAAAAAATAATTACATAAGAAATGCTTGGTGAACGGTTTCAATTACTTTGATTCAGTCTCCAAAGCTAGTGACTTCTCGACTCTTTTGACGATCTGCAATTCGAAAAAGAAATGAATTCTCTCGTCTGTCGTTAAGAATGGTATTAGCGCGCTAGGAAATCCATAACGAGTTTGCGCGGGCTGATAGACGATTTACGATCATAGAACAAAAAATCCTCATTCAAAAGAGAACTGACAAGGGAAGACACTAACAACAGTTAACACTGGCCTTTTCAAAAAAGAACGTATACACCCAAAATCAGCTTGGAACACAGTTAAGAATATGCTGTTCCTATTCACGATGCGTCATTCTGAAGCAAACTATTAGCCTTTGCGCAAAACATGCCGCTCTTCGACTTACTCCCATTACGGTATCACCATCAAATTTTAAGTACTAACACTGCGCTTAGTTGCTAATGATAAAATGTTTAACATATGTTAATTTGATATCTCATCGCTTTTTCTGGGCAGATTTCTACTCACAAAACAGTATCTTCAGTAGTGTACCCAGGATTTCCATTTGGGGAGAGGGTAGAAAAATTCTTCCTGATGAAGGTGCGTGGCTTTAGCCACGAGAGGAAAAGCGTGTCTGAGATCAGCATGTCAATAGTTCGGTCATAAATGTCTCTTTTCAGAAGCCCAATCTAACAAGGGAGAGTCACAAAGTCGAAGTGGCCAATCACTACAAACTGGATGTCGTTAGTGAGAGTTTGGAACGGTGGTTCCAAATCTGCTTTCCTTATCTGCAGAGCGCCTCTGGGAAGGAAGTTATGAACATTTCTCGGAGCCGAGAAATGAACAAACAGCAGGGATAAAATGAAACGCTACAGTCTCTCTAGGTCATAAATGAAGCAGCGGCAAGTGTCATGATACTTCATACAATGAACTCCTTCTGCCTCGTATATCAGTACTTCCTATTACTTCATTTTACGTCTAGAAATGCTGTAACGAATGATTTTATCTCGGCCATTAGTTCATTTTCTCGACTCAAAAAATCCTCATAACTTCTTTCCCAAAGGCGCTCTGCAGCTAGAAGAAGCAGATTTGGAAATATCGTTTTGAGCTCTCACTAGGGTATGCAGTTAATAGTAATCGACCACTTCATCTTTGTGACCCTCCCTTGTAAGTTAACTTCTGCCTTTGACCGTTGGAAACAGTTTCCACCTAAATTTCTAACCAGGCACTGATTTAATGTAAGCTGCAGATTACGTAAAAAACCCAAAAACTTTCCTTTCTAAAACTCCAACTAGGAAGGCGCAAACATTTCCTCCTTTCAAGGATAACATCAGGTGACCAGAAACGCAGATGCTTCGCTTCCGGCAACTGCTTATGGACTACGTAGAAATCTGAACAGCATACTAAACCTCTGAGACCCCTAAACGCCACTCTCCACGGTTATGCAACTTCATGTAAAAAGCAAAGATTCAGCTTGTATTTCTCTCTCACCGGTATTTTCCTCTCATTTTGACTCCCATTCTTCGTAATCGATAACTGTCGGACATAAAAAGATAAAGATTTATCATCAATGTCAAAAATCGATTTCACAACAAAGTAAGGTACAAATGAAGAAAGACTTAAGACAGCGATAACTCAAGAATTTCGAGATCATGCGGAACCAGCTGTCTTGAAATCATTGTGCAGTCGAATCATTTCATAAAATCATGTGTGTCACTGCACATACATACTGTCCACCTTTGGTGTCCTCGTCCTGGATTTCAAGAACAGAGAGCCCTTCTCCTAAGTGTTTCCGATGTTTTTCATGCTTATTCCTTTGAGTACCACCTTCACAAAGTGATGCAAGCGATAAAATCGGTCAGTCTCTTGCGTTTTTGCGATTGCAATTCCAGGATGGGGACGCCAGAGGTGAACAGTTTCTGCACTGACACACATGATCCTATGAAATGATTCGATTGTATAGGCTACTGCACGACAAAGCCGCAATACGTTTGGCTGCGAACGCGTCTTTTTTGGCCGCAGAGCACACGAGGCGCAGGATTTACAAGAATATGCACGTGCCAAGTTTGCGCCCGCTCAACTTGTACCCCTTCTGCGCCTTCGTCATGCAATAGCCTTTATATATATCCCAGAAAAATGATATTACTGATGCTGTAAAGAACCCGCACTTGAATAAAAATCACATAAGAAAATGGTCAGAATGATAGATTAGTAGGCTGGAAATCACCAAAGACCTTTCAGGTATCAAGATGCTGTTAAAAGTTTCTGTATCAAATTCCTATTTCTGTATCAAATTCCTAAAAGTCCAAGATCCACATTGCCATACTTTTTCCTCAGATCCCTCATGACTTCACTGCTGATTTTTCTAGCCAGCCTTAAAAATTTCTGTGATTGAATAGCAGTTATGAAGCTTCCTTGGGAACTACTGACGAGGGGCACCAAGGAAGCCGCACTACCGGTATAGTTCTAAGCCCCGAAACCGGATAGTGTAGAAAATGAACAAAAAGGAATTGAATTTCTTGCGTTCCTAATTAGTATTTATCAAATTCTTTTTCATATGAAAAACCACAAAACAAGTTGTTATGAGGTCATTTAAGAGGTTACCGAATTGTAGCTTCGTTGGCTTCTTCCGATGTTGTCGCCGGGATCGGATCGACCGCTGCTGACGGCTGATGCAGCCTAGATCGCTCTAAAATTCCATGTTTTCAAGTGCAAACCCAGCATCTTACGGTGGTAAAACTGAGAAATCATACTTGTGTCACCGGATACCTCTAGACGATCTTTCGTTAACACTCTCTGCGGCCTATTTCCACTGGATGGAGCTAAGGCAGGTTGACTGCGGGAACGAGCAAGTCGTTGTCGTTTCTTAAACAGACCAACTTCACTAACGACGATAGAGACATAAAGAAAGTTCATTAAAACGGGGAGATTTTTGCATAGATTATTTATGATGGCTCTAGAGAATTGGGAATATGACTGGAGTATCAGAGACCGGATTTCACACAAACCTACAAAGTGAGTACTTTTTGTTAATGATATGTGTGCAGGAAATTATTTAGCTATTTCCTTCCTGAATAAAACACAATTATCTCTAACCTACAGCTTGGAGACGGCCACGTTGCAAAACAGGAAAACTGACAATGGAAGCCTTCTTAGTCAGAGGGGCCTCTCCAGATGAGTTCTATATCACTTTGGAAAGCACTGACTGACTGACTCCAAATCTGTTTTTACTATCTGCCAAGCGCCTGAGATTCCTAGCTTTGAGTGCTTTTAAACCGAAAAATGGACCCTTAATCTAGGTGACAGCAATGTTTTCTTTTTCGCTCTCAAATAGAGCAGTGTTGATATGAGGGTATTTGAGAGAAGATCCATTGCATGAAATGCTTTGATATCAGCACTTGACCATTTTAGCAATCTTGTACGATTTCGTTTCCAGTGGCGCAATCAATTTTTCGCAATCATAAAAAACGCTCACAACTCGGCTTCCAGAAGGGCTTGGCAGATAAGGAAGACAGATCTGAAGTCACTGTGATTTCATATCTGTCTTCCTTGCCAAGCCCCTCTGAAGGCCTTTACAAAGTGACATAGGCGTCATGCGGGGGAAGGCCACTTTCGCCAAAAAGGCGTCCCTTGCGAGCAGACGAAAAATAAACGAAGTTTCGGGTTCGACTTAACTTTCTCAGAAAAAAAAGGGTGCAGTTGTTCATTTGTCAATTTTAGCTTTCTGGACACCAAATGGATATACTGCAACAATGCTTACTTTATACAACTCCGCAGGAAGAAGATACCCAGGGCTGCGTTGTTGGATCTGTACTAGAGGTCGTCGCAGTTTCACAGGCTGCGGGCTGTAGCATTGTTGCCGAGACGAAGTTGTGGTCCTTCGTCGAACGCACTGTGCCTCAAATGCCACCTGAAAACGTTACAATCAAGAAGATAACCTTGCGAAAGATCTGTGAAGCTTCGAGTCCCTCCCCGCCCCCCCCCCCCCCCAAAAAAATGCAATCGCCATTGTTGCATATGTATTTCTAATGACAGATCGGCAAAACAAACCTTCGATAATTTTTCAACCACGATTTCATTGAAGTCGTCTACAGCCCGATGCAAATCTGACAAGGTGTTTTGCTGCAATCGATCACCGATTAAATTGAAAAGCCATAGGAATTTATTGTAATCACCTCTATCTTTAATCTAGCACATCCGTCACAAAAAGTATACAGCATGTCACAAAGCGAAGTAGCGAATGCAGAGGTATTCGATATTTGAAAAGCTCTAAAACAGAACTATTCTTATGCTTAGAGAATCCAAAAAAGGTAAAAATTATTGAGATGTAACGCGAGATTTTCGAAAAACAAATCGTCGATGTAGAAGTGATTACAAAAAGAAAATAGCAACTTACGATGATATTCGTGTGGTAAAGAGCCTTACAAGCTGAAGAAGACGTCTAGCCGCAGTTTCATAGCTGCAAAAAAATGCTAATACATAGATGGCATTACTTCGGTAAAGTTGTCGGTTACTAAAAGGATTCTGGCTATAGCACCAAAACCTTCCTGAACTTTGTGAAAGAACAGACAATGAACAAAGGTGCCAGAGGAACACTTCAAAACAAACAATCAAAGTATCATCATCATACTCTTTAATAAAGCGCAGGCACCCCCATCTGACGTCAGTGTCGGTCTGTTCGTGCCATGTTTGGGTTGTTTACCACTATGCTCCATGAACCTGCACTTTACCACTGCCCTTTACCACTATGCTCCACGAACCTGCACTTTACCACTGCCCTTTTTTGTACAAGTGATCTTTGCCATCAGACTGTCTGTCTTCGCTATTGTTTATCAAGGTTCCTTACGCAGGCACGAGCAGTCAAACGCTGCTACCACAACTCCTAAGCGGTGAGATCGATTAGTCCCATAACCGCTTCACGATATTTCGCTTTATTTCAGCTACGATTTGACTCCATTATCCGAATCTAAAGACGGGTAATTTATTCTACCATCGTTTGTTTCATCTGAAAGGCTATCATTCCCATCGCCCTGTGATACCTGCCTTTTCGCACCTCATCGTTTCTGTGACTATTCTCTCCTTTTATGCAACTCTGATCGCTCCTAGAGCAACAAAAGCGCACCAACATATGCAATCTCACTTTTATGAGCAATTTTTCATTTATGTTAAAATTATATTAGATTTGAGGATTTCATAATTGCTGCAAAGTTCTATGCCTCAAGAAGAAGTCAATTGAAGTTTTTTCTGAGAAACTCGAAATAAAATTGAAGCGATTTGAGCAGCACCTCCAATGTGGCTGCATTTATGTGGAATTTTTCTAGAAGCTGAGCAGTTTTTTGAGAGTAACGTTTTGATCTCAAAACGATCATCATCTGCCATTTTGTATCAGTAAATACAAAAAAACACGGTACAAGTATATTCAAACCGAAGAATTGGCAAAACTGACCAAAAAATCAATGATTCTAAAAAGATTCTATCAATTATCATTAACAATATAATGATGCTGTTTCCGTAATTTTGTCAAAACATTGCACAACCTCAAAATCGTATAGACAGTGTCTGGATGAACAGTTGAAATTGGATATACACTTTGATAGTAGCATTCTTGATTATATTCAAGTCAGTAGCCTACTAAGATGAGCTGGAAATTGAGGTAGACGCTGGAGTTGGGCTTATCATAGGTGTTGAACAATTTGAAAAGCCCATATAGAACGGGAACGGGAGTTTGGAATTAGAATTTTTGAATTGAAAAGACTCTGAGCAAGCTTCCAACAACGCATATTTCGTGATGAGGAAGGGATGTTCTTTGATTCAGAAGGTTTTGTAACTATAAGTTGGAACGTTGGCTTGAGCTGCAGCGATGTTCGCCCGCGGTTTCATGACCGGGGACATCGCTTAGTTCACCCCAGGTTTACATACGGGCCCAAAAGATCTAAAGGGAATAAAATGTTAAGGTAGTTCGTAGGGACAGTCGATGAGGAGAGCAGGGCCCCGGGTGAAAAGAGGAGGAATGTACACAGCTGTAGCTGGGAAAAGCTTGCCGAGTTTGTGACGTGACGGCCACTTTGTCAAAAAATTTCTGAATGTGAGAATTTGAGGGTATCCGAGGATTTTCGCAAAATGGTGAATGAGCCACTTTGGCAGCTAAAGTTTGTCGAAAGGTGATCACGCTAAAACGTTGCCTCAAAACCGCGCGAAAACGCTAAGGGCTTGCCCTGCATTTCCTTGCAGGGGAGTTTAAAGAAAAGGTGGGAACAGACAGGTCCCAACTAACCACTATAAGCAAACAGCAGACATGACGGAAAATCTTGGCGTGCGCGGCACAACATGCCAATTTTGGCTTGATTCGGGGGACTGTAAAGGCGCAGTTCGCATTTTCTCAACAGCAGCACATTTGGGGCAAGATTCGAAAGCGATTGAGTAAGATCTGAAGGATGTGGAATGGCAGAAAAGATTGGTAGTTCGGGAGTTTCATAAAGGAAATTGGATGAAAAAGAATGGGAGGAGAGGGGGATGCAGTTTGGCTCAAAGAACTCAGGAGACAGCAATACGCAAGTTTGCAAAGCGCAAGAGCATACCTACTTGGGAAGATGGGAGGAAGTGGTTGAAATTCTGTTGGCACTTTTGTTAATACTTAGGAAACCACATAGAGCAAAAAAGATCCAATTGAAAAGACTCTGAGCAAGCTTCCAACAACGCATATTTCGTGATGAGGAAGGGATGTTCTTTGATTCAGAAGGTTTTGTAACTATAAGTTGGAACGTTGGCTTGAGCTGCAGCGATGTTCGCCCGGGGTTTCATGACCGGGGACATCGCTTAGTTCACCCCAGGTTTACATACGGGCCCAAAAGATCTAAAGGGAATGAAATGTTAAGGTAGTTCGTAGGGACAGTCGATGAGGAGAGCAGGGCCCCGGGTGAAAAGAGGAGGAATGTACACAGCTGTAGCTGGGAAAAGCTTGCCGAGTTTGTGACGTGACGGCCACTTTGTCAAAAAATTTCTGAATGTGAGAATTTGAGGGTATCCGAGGATTTTCGCAAAATGGTGAATGAGCCACTTTGGCAGCTAAAGTTTGTCGAAAGGCGATCACGCTAAAACGTTGCCTCAAAACCGCGCGAAAACGCTAAGGGCTTGCCCTGCATTTCCTTGCAGGGGAGTTTAAAGAAAAGGTGGGAACAGACAGGTCCCAACTAACCACTATAAGCAAACAGCAGACATGACGGAAAATCTTGGCGTGCGCGGCACAACATGCCAATTTTGGCTTGATTCGGGGGACTGTAAAGGCGCAGTTCGCATTTTCTCAACAGCAGCACATTTGGGGCAAGATTCGAAAGCGATTGAGTAAGATCTGAAGGATGTGGAATGGCAGAAAAGATTGGTAGTTCGGGAGTTTCATAAAGGAAATTGGATGAAAAAGAATGGGAGGAGAGGGGGATGCAGTTTGGCTCAAAGAACTCAGGAGACAGCAATACGCAAGTTTGCAAAGCGCAAGAGCATACCTACTTGGAAAGCTGGGAGGAAGTGGTTGAAATTCTGTTGGCACTTTTGTTAATACTTAGGAAACCACATAGAGCAAAAAAGATCCTCACAATTAAATTTGGTAATTTCTGGGTTTCTAAATGTCTGAAAAATGCGTGCCATACTTTTGAAGAAAAGGTTCCCAAGTTCTATCTTTGACAGTCAATCTCACTACACACACATAGCCAGTCCGAAGCGCCGCGAAGCGGCGCTTCGGACTGGTACTCTTTAATAAAGCGCAGGCACCCCCATCTGACATCAGTGTCGGTCTGTTCGTGCCATGTTTGGGTTGTTTACCACTATGCTCCATGAACCTGCACTTTACCACTGCCCTTTACCACTATGCTCCACGAACCTGCACTTTACCACTGCCCTTTTTTGTACAAGTGATCTTTGCCATCAGACTGTCTGTCTTCGCTATTGTTTATCAAGGTTCCTTACGCAGGCACGAGCAGTCAAACGCTGCTACCACAACTCCTAAGCGGTGAGATCGATTAGTCTCATAACCGCTTCACGATATTTCGCTTTATTTCAGCTACGATTTGACTCCATTATCCGAATCTAAAGACGGGTAAGGTATTCTACCATCGTTTGTTTCATCTGAAAGGCTATCATTCCCATCGCCCTGTGATACCTGCCTTTTCGCACCTCATCGTTTCTGTGACTATTTCTGATTCTTGCAACTATCTCTCCTTTTATGCAACTCTGATCGCTCCTAGAGCAACAAAAGCGCACCAACATACGCAATCTAACTTTTATGAGCAATTTTTCATTTATGTTAAAATTATATTAGATTTGAGGATTTCATAATTGCTGCAAAGTTCTATGCCTCAAGAAGAAGTTAATTGAAGTTTTTTCTGAGAAACTCGAAATAAAAATGAAGCGATTTGAGCAGCAATCCTCCAATGTGGCTCCAATGTGGCTGCAATTATGTGGAATTTTTCCAGAAGCTGAGCAGTTTTTCTGAGAGTAACGTTTTGATCTCAAAACGATCATCATCTGCCATTTTGTATCAGTAAATACAAAAAAAACACGGTACAAGTATATTCAAACCGAAGAATTGGCAAAACTGACCAAAAAATCAATGATTCTAAAAAGATTCTATCAATTATCATTAACAATATAATGATGCTGTTTCCGTAATTTTGTCAAAACATTGCACAACCTCAAAATCGTATAGACGTATAGTGTTTGGATGAACAGTTGAAATTGGTTATACACTTTGATAGTAGCATTCTTGATTATATTCAAGTCAGTAGCCTACTAAGATGAGCTGGAAATTGAGGTAGACACTGGAGTTGGGCTTATCATATATGTTGAACAATTTGAAAAGCCCATATAGAACGCGAACGGGAGTTTGGAATTAGAATTTTTGAATTGAAAAGACTCTGAGCAAGCTTCCAACAACGCATATTTCGTGATGAGGAAGGGATGTTCTTTGATTTAGAAGATTTTGTAACTATAAGATGGAACGTTGGCTAGAGCTGCAGCGATGTTCGCCCGCTGCCCTTTCATGACCGGGGACATCGCTTAATTCACCCCAGGTTTACATACGGGCCCAAAAGATCTAAAGGGAATGAAATATTAAGGTAGTTCGTAGGGACAGTCGATGAGGAGAGCAGGGCCCCGGGTGAAAAGAGTCAGGAGGAATGTACACAGCTGTAGCTGGGAAAAGCTTGCCGAGTTTGTGACGTGACGGCCACTTTGTCAAAAAATTTCTGATGTGAGAATTTGAGGGTATCCGAGGATTTTCACAAAATGTGTGAATGAGCCACTTTGGCAGCTACAGTTTGTCGAAAGGTGATCACGCTAAAAGGTTGCCTCAAAACCGCACGAAAACGCTAAGGGCTTGCGGCATTTCCTTGCAGGGGAGTTTAAAGAAAAGGTAGGAACAGACAGGTCCCAACTAACCACTATTAGCAAACAGCAGACATGACGGAAAATCTTGGCGTGCGCGGCACAACATGCCAATTTTGGCTTGATTCGGGGGACTGTAAAGGCGCAGTTCGCATTTTCTCAACAGCAGCACATTTGGGGCAAGATTCGAAAGCGATTAAGTAAGATCTGAAGGATGTGGAATGGCAGAAAAGATTGGTAGTTCGGGAGTTTCATAAAGGAAATTGGATGAAAAAGAATGGGAGGAGAAGGGGATGCAGTTTGGCTCAAAGAACTCAGGAGACAGCAATACGCAAGTTTGCAAAGCGCAAGAGCATACCTACCTGGAAAGCTGGGAGGAAGCGGTTGAAATTCTGTTGGCACTTTTGTTAATAGAACTTAGGAAACCACATAAAGCAAAAAAGATCCTCAGAATTAACTTTGATAATTTCTGGGTTTTTAAATGTCTGAAAAATCCGTGCCATACTTTTGAAGAAAAGGTTCCCAAGTTCTATCTTTGACAGTCAATCTCACTACACACACATAGCCAGTCCGAAGCGCCGCGAAGCGGCGCTTTGGACTGGTTCATATATAATTACTTTAGGAAAAAAAGGGCAGGCCAAAGAATTTGTAGCCATTAACGAACAACAAACATCAGGGAAAATGATGCATAGTAGGATTGGCTCCAATTCGCGTAGAGGAGGGTTGGGACTTTCCTTGATCAAAAGGATAAACTTGTTAAACCTCCGCGTTATAGCATTGTTTTTCTTACTCTCTCGGTGTCAAAAACCGCCACGCTTGAGCTGTCACGACTCCGCCTCGACACGAATCGTGGAGCCCACGGTACACAAAAAAGACATAATTTTCGAAAACACTAATTTGTGAACTGATGCTGGAAAATCAGGTAAACAGAATTTTGTAGCTTTATTAAAACCTTATCATTGTTTCTCGTCAAAGATTTGAAGTGAAAGACTTGCTAGTGACATGCGCGACATCTAAAAAAAATTCTGTACTAGTGCTTGTCTCAGAAAGTAGCCTAATCGTCAACTCTCCTCTAAGGACTCATAAACGAGGAAGAAAAAATGCGCAAAGCGAAACTAACCGTGCTCGGCCCACCATTCTTGACGTGATTCGATCTACTTGAAGCCTGGCAGCAAATAACAAAGATGCATCTCGATTATGTTCTGGTTCACAGTGGCATATCGTGAAATCAACTGGGAAGGAAACTTTTCTTGTATTATTAGGGAGCATAAAGATACCTGCGGATAGAAATGTTTGAGAAGATGCGTCTATAGCGTGAATTAGTTCTTCAAAAACCGCAATCGCAAGAGCTTGGTCGCCGTGATCAGCTCCCCTCATAGCTGGCGAGGACGCAAAGCTCTAAACATATCCAAAACACACACTGAATCCAGTTAACGAAAAATCCCACCTTCTTTTCCATCTGCTCCCGAGCCAACTCCTTCTCAACATCTGCAGTCCACCTTTTGATGAAATTTCGCTCGCCAAGCATCAATGCGAGAAACTCATCCGTCATCTCGTCTAGCTCGGCATCCGACCAGGCAACCATCTGCAGCTTTCTCATACAACTATCAACTAAACCCATATGAACTATACAAAGTAATCGGCGACATTTCATGTACATTTCGTGAGCATTACACAATTTTACTGAAATTCGTTTATGTACATTTTTTATGATATTGCATCCGACATAGAATTATGGAGGAAGATGAGCTTAGAAAATAGACATGAAAAAAGAGTTTCATAACAGAAAAACAGTAACAAGATATGGCAAATTCTACACTAGTGAGCCTAATCTCCAGAGCTGGAGCTTTACATTATTCTAGGTGTCTTTGGCACTGGGTTTGACAGTCGGGGGCAAGGGCTGTATTTCCACATATCCAATTCGCATACCAACGCCTTCGGGAATATTACGTTCAATATATTCCAAAAATGTACTCGCAGTGCTTCCGGTGAGATTCCGAACCTTAATGAGTTGAGCATAGAGCGCGAATTCATTTCAAAAAATGGAAAATCACAGGACGAGATTCAAATAAGACGTAATAAAGATAAGGTTCTATACAAGCTTTTACGTTCCAAAATGACATGGTAAGTAAAACGTTATCCTAGGTAGATAACGCTTTGCAGAGTGCATACTCACTACGCTCGATTGCCTCACATACATTAGCTTGATTAAATATGAGCAAAGAGCACTGCACTTTTGACAAGTTCTATTTTCGATCCCTAACTAATACAAAAACTTATACATCTAAACAATGCCGATCTATATGGCGTTCGAACCAGAATCAGTTGAAAAAGCACAAAAACCAGCCAAGCCCCAAGGAACGCCAACATGACCGTCAGTCAAACAAACGCTGATAATTAGAAAGAATAGAAAATGGAGGAGCAACGTGATGGCAAGTTGTTACAAAAACAGGCTTGTGTGGCAGAAGCAAAAAAAAAATAAGACTAATGGTTTCTAGACCTATTCTGACAAAGGCATCTAAAAGCAAAGGTAATGGCCAACCTCAAACTTCGTGATATGCGTTCGTGTCTCATAATGTAATTTGTACTTCTTGTGAACGAATTTCGATCGCAGTGCTGGTTGAATCCATCGAACGTACGGCAAAACTTCAAATCGCCCTCGGGTGATGTTCAAATGCATGCACACTGCCTAAACTATGCATCTGAGATATGTAAGAAGAACAGAAACACACTAGAGCAGCAAAATTCAAAAGTTATGTGAAAAATTGGCTAGGTAGCGGCAGCAAAAATCATTCAATTTCCACGATATCAGGTAACATTCCCATGGCAGGTGCCATTCTCCAAAAAGATGCCTTATATTTTGAGCAAGAAAAAACTAAAGTATTCGATGCGGGACAGTCTCAATGAGATTGCAGGCTCGAAGAAACAAGCATGCCCACCATTTACAAGCAGTGCAACAAAAAGAACAATAATGCAAACTCATAACCAACCCACTTCAAGAAATTTGGTGTAAGACTTCAGCACTTCCGGATCGTGACCGCGATATTCAAGTTCTATTGAGCTGAAAAAGGAGTATCACACGGTACAACAGAAAAGCTATAGTTCATTTATAAAGTCGTGACGACAGACTTGACTGCGGACTTTGCGCCCACAGGACCATAAAAAGACATATAAGAAGACATCACCTCGAAGCTCAGCTCACAAGGGAACCGTGTCGAGTCGAAGTGGCCTTTCCAGATGAGACCCATACTGCTTCAAAGAGTATTAAGCGGTGATTCCAAATCTGCCTTCCAAATCTGCCAAGCGCCTCTGGACGCCGAGTTATGACCGTTCTTCGGAACGAAAAATGAATGAAGAATTTAGGTAAAATTGATTGTTACAATCTTTCCAACGCTCAGACAAAGCAATGTTAAGTATTAGCTATTAAATAGAATGTATCCATTGCATAAACAGCTCTGGTATTGACTGGACCATTTGAGCAAATTTGGGCGATTTTGCTTCAGTTTTGCGTTCAATTTTTTGACCTGAAAAACGAGCATAACTCGGCGTCCAGCGGCGCTTGGCAGATTTGGAAAGCAGATTTGGAATAACCGATCGATGCTCTTCAAAGCAGTATGAGTCTCATCTGGAAAGGCACTTCGACTCGACACGGTTCCCTTGTCAGTTACTTCCAGTGTCTAAATACTATCATATGATCGTCTCCACGATTCGTGTAGAGGTGTATTGCAGACTTTGCGTGATAACACAGGTAAACTTGTTGAACCTCCACGTCATACCATTGTTTTTTGTACTCTCTCGCTATCAGAGACCGCCACGCTTTGTCGTGGAGCCGATGATACGCAAGCAAAAAAAAAACCACTCGACTAGAGCTGAAAACTAAGAAAATACGGTTTCCGAAAGTGGCGCGCGCGTAGCGCGCTGTCGCGCCATGTCACGATTTTCAAATGCCCTGAACCTAAACAAGGAGGGCAGAAAAAAGGTCCAACCTGAACAGCTTGTCCGGCATGAGCGTTTCTGATGGAGAATGCGACCCATTGATGGATGTACTCGATGGAGCTGTGCGCACCTTCAAATTCTGATTACATTTCTAAGCGAGGTACCGACCAAACATAGGATTTTTACCAGCTTAGAGAGTTTGAAGTGTAAGAAAAAGCAAATCAAAAGAACTGGACTAACCGTACGTGTACTTGAGACCATACTTCGTAAAGCTGTTCTTAATCCTCCAAAAACCGTGGAGTTCATCTAAATATAGTGAGAAGAGCATTTGTATTGATTATAAAGATCATTAAAGTTGGTAAGTGTAGAAATGGCAACCATAAATGAGTAGGCAGAAGGAGCCATACCGAACAATCGTTTTGGAGCCAAAATTGTGTTGTGGTCCGTAGCCACACAACACAGGCGATCTAACGTCTAAAATCCGAAAAAGAATCGGAGATAGCAATATTTTCATCGCTCATTAGTATCCTATCGTTTGGTGAATCCAGTGATCGACTGTTACGCCCTCATTTTCCACTTTCTCAATAACAATCACGATTCTGTAGATCACCACTAGATGAACGTGATTAGAAATGATCTTTCTTTCCTCAATGACTGCGCGCGCTTTGTGTAATCACGTATACCGAAATTTGCCTTTTAGGCACCGGTCATACCATTCCAAAAGGTGATTCCTGCGATTCCTGTAATTCCGCATTTCCTGTGATTCTGCGACTTCCGATGTGCCGCACTACGGAACGCTTTGCAGATTTCGGACACAGTGTTTTTTTGCAATATATATCGTCGATTCGTTGATTGTACGGACTGTTAGAACGCTGCGGACCGTGCGCGGCGCGGCTGAAATGTTGCGGGAGCACGTTTGCACTGGGGCAAGTGTTTAACCTCGCGGCGCGTGCTCCGCAGTGATGTTCAGTCCGTGCGGTCAGCGAATGGACTATACACCGTTGTGAGACCCGAAGGAATCACAAGTATCGCAGGCACTGCAGCAAACGCAGAAATAGCATGGCCGGTCCCTTAGGTAGGCGACAGACTAACCGAATGCCTGCTTTAGAAGGTTGCCGCGCAGCTAGTACAGTCTGCCCCAATCGGGATCAGGCCGAACCGTCGGCTGAATTTGCGCGCTCGCAGCGCTGGGGGTTTGCGCTGCATACGCGCGCTGTCGCAGAGAGCGAAGAGATTGAAGAGAGAGCAGACTAGCTAGACGCAGAAGTGGCGCGAAACCCTCGCGACGCGCACTCCCGCCAAGCCAATTTTGGCCTGGTTAGGATTGGGGCAGACTGTAAGCTGATGTCATTTGGCGTCATGTTGGACGGGTAGTTTTGAAGAGATGATAAAAAGCCTTGCCGAATGAAAGAATGATAAAAAAGCCTTTACCAGTTGAAATTTATTGCTGTAGCGAAATAGACAGCAGATAATGAGGCAGCTTTGGAGCCAGTATTCCATGCCCTTCAAGGCATTATTCATCTGGTATTGAGAGGCCACTTTGAAAAAACATCCTTCCCTTGTTAGGCTAATATCTCAGGATCGTCACATCGTATCGTTTGCGGCCATTGCTCACTGCGTCTACAAGGTCGGAACCACTGAGACAAACCATCTCACTTCGCATCTCAAGATCGCTTAAAAAATTACAAGCTATCATCTATGGCAGAAAAGCGTCAGAGAAAAAAAGGAGAGGATTCTGTTGACGTAATGAGTGAGCGTGCCCGCAACCGCACGACGGTTACTACCTGGTAAAACTCCATGGATTTGAGCTCATAAAAAGAAATGGCTTGCATGCGGGTAGCATCCGTGTGAGTACAGTCTGTCCCAATTCAGTGCCAGAATTGGCATAGAGGGAACCCGCGTTGCTGGTGCTTTGCGTCACGCCTACGGCCTGCTTGTCTGCTTTCTCTTCAATCTCTTCGCTCCCTGCAGCAGTGCACATATGCAGAACAAACCGCTAATGCTGAGAGTGCGCGATTTACACCAACACTTCGGCGTGATCCCGATTGTTACAGATTTATGTCTGTGATGACAGTTTGCACGTGTAAGGCCGTAGAGCGCATAATCTGAGTTTTCTGATGGTTCATCCAAGGGACACGTATCGTCATATATTAGGTTGGTCCAGAAGTTCGTTCGCACCATTTTCAAAAAATCATAACTTCTTTCCAAAATAAAATCCAGAACAGCTGTCATCCTAAGTTTTCTTGTTTTTTATTAATACATGAGTTAAGTTTGGGCTGATTGAGCTCTTCTTTCGAAAGTTATGATTTGAAAAAAATGCCGAAAAATCAATTTTTTAAGAATACTTAAGAAATCGATTTTTCGGTTTTTTTTCAAAAAATCATAACTTTTGAAAGAAAAGCTCGATCAGCACAAACTTGACTCAGTTAGTAATAAAATATAAGAAAACTTAGGATGGTGGCTGTTCTGGATTTTATCGCATAGTTTCTAGTTTTTAAAATTCTTGCTAAAAAATTCCGGATTTCGGATGATCTCGTTCTTTCATTTTTATTCCTGCAAACTGGGCATGTTGGAAAGTCTCTCCAGGGTACTTTTAGAAACTACATGCTTCACGCTTTCTAATAAAATATGAATTGCGTCATTGTGAGGGAAAGAGGTTATAATTTTTTGAAAATGGTGCGAACGAACTTTTGGACCAACCTAATATATTATATTAGCGTAACAGTCAGCCCATCTTCCTCGAAAATGAGTGGACATTTTTGGAGGCGATCTGTATGGTTAACAAATTGTATAAGTGACTCATTTTGATGAAAAATGATTCACGTAATTTTCTGAGAATTCTTAAAATTCAATTTAGCTTTGCAAAGAATTGTTTTTGGGTGTCGTCCACTAAAGTTTTGCAGAAATGTCTAAAAAATTTCCCACAGGACAAGGCTGACGCCACTTTTTTTGATTCGAAGAGATTCTTGTTGCCCTCTCCCGCCCCGAAAAATTTTTCGCAGACACTGGTAAACATATATAGCATGACGCAGTTCAATGGTGAACTCGTTATGCCGATAACGCAATAGCGAGAGTAACGGCTGCAGTGGAAGTAGTGCGGTGTGCTGGAATTTCAACGCGCAAGTGTTGTTGGCAGCTCAAACACACTACACCACCATCACTGTACTGATCTATATCTGCTTTGGCCACACAATTAAATTTGTGACCAACGTCCCAAACCCTCAAGCGACGTTTGAGGAGTCTGTGAATTTGTCTGGAGCCAGACTTTTCAATAGCGCTCTTCTATCTTCCAGGTTGAAATGTTCTTCACTCCGTCTTGTCGTTTATGATAATCGTTATCGGTAGTTAGTTGAGATGATAAGAGTATAAACCGATTTGTCTGCGGAAAAGGTTCAATTTAGCAGATAAGAAATGGTACGAGTGATTTTTGCCACATTGTTGAGCAGACTCGCTGCTTTTTTTTCCACAAACAATTTTCAAAGGGAATTTTGTTCGTTGTGTCAGATCGATCTCTTCGCCAGCTTCGTCAAATCTGAACGATGCAGATATACATAAAATCAGCATCAGGTATGACCATCACCCTCCCTATCCGTGTGTTCGTCTATGGCACACTCAAACGAGGAGAACCAAATGCGAAAGTAATGATGGACACGGAAGGTCACCAACGTTTTTTGGGTGTGGGAAGAACAAAGAAACCATTTCCGCTGATAATCGCCAGCAAGTATAACATACCTTTCGTTCTAAACGAGCCAGGAAAAGGATACGTGAGTTTTTTCCTCCAGTCTCCCTCTTCTCTTTGCGAATTTAATAAGAAAAAATACAGTTCAGATTGCTTTTAGAAATCACGATGCCTATTTTAAGTATAGGCTGTTTCGCCGCGTTGATATGCCTCGGACGACCTGTTCTAGCATATAATGTGCCTTAAAGGCAGCATCCGGGCAGATTTGGACATTATAGGATACAATCATAAACGAGGGCGTCGATCTAGAACTGTCGCGCAAATCCGACTTTCAAACACCCCTGTAAAAGGAGAAAATCTGCTCAAAAACGCCGAGCCCGAGAACCACGCCCACTTTCTCGCACGGCCCGCCCTCTTGAACGAACTTTCCTCAGCCCTTGACGTGTTTTCACGTGGCAAACACAATGGAACATATAGTGTCGACCTGTTAATGCTTGCTTTCGACAAGGATTGCACTAGGAGCACTCTTTCAGGCTTCTCACAAAATTGTCTCCAAAGTGGGTTTTTGAAGGGATTCACCATATTGAGTGCCATATTTGGAATGAAAAGGCTTGGTGAGGCAAAAAATAGAAGTCGAGAATCCGCCTGGACGCTGCCTTTGAGCATCGCTCATACTTCGCTCAATTCCGGTCGCTGCGCTGCCTCTCCTCTTCCCCCCCCCCCCCCCCGAAATGCGTCGCGAAATTAAATAGCATGGGGTAGCGAAATTTTCATAAGCCTAAAAGCAGCTACGAAGGCGTTTGGTTTACTCTGCGAAGCATATGCGAGCGCCTTCAAGCACCTTTCATCATAGGACTCGTACGCCCGCGCACGCCTTGCTTACACGGTCGGTCGCCTTCGTTTCGAAGTAGCCTTTAATGAGTTATAAAACTGTGCAAGTTACTTGTTCCAACTCCAAATGAAACTTGAGATTTCTTATGGATATCAACGACATTTTGACATATCGCGATGCCCATATCTGGGAAATCATCTCAAAATCTCATCGGAAGTGCACGAAATCGTCAGAAAAGTAGTCATTCGAGAAAAGTAAAGAAAATCTTGTAAAGTCAGCGGTTTTCAGCGCATGGCTGCAAATTGTAAACTCTCAATCCATTATTTGAATTTATTTTTTAGCAAGTCGAAGGAGAAGTCTACGAAATAGACTCTGTAAAACTGAAAATTCTGGACGTTTTGGAAGCGTATCCCACATTGTATTGGCGGCAAGAAGAAAAGGTAAATGAATCAAGGGAGATTACCATCAGATGATAGGCTAATTCAGATACTCATGGAAAATAACACAGAGGTCTTGGCATGGATTTACCTAATGCGGAAGTGGCGTCCAGATATATACAAGACGGCTACGCCAATGATGTCTAACTATTCCAGCAAAGGGTCGCATGGTAGAGAATATGTTACAAGGTAATGATTCAATTAACATCCACATCTTCTTTATCAGTGCTGCTTGCCATTAACACGTTTCGGACCGCGAAACCGCGCGCGGCGAAAAAGAGTGCACTTTCAGCCATTCGCCAACATAGGGACCTCATTTTGTAGACTGTGTGCTACATCTGTAATCAGCAATTCAGATAAACTCCGTACCCAAAATTCTGAGTGAATTCGAAGTGTTTGAATTTTGTCGCTTGAGAGGGACTTTTGCGCTTTTTTGAAAGATAGGAAAAAGAACTCAGTTTAAAATAGTATTCAAAAGTAACTACGTTGTACACGGTACACATCAATATTGAAACTAGGGTTTTTCTTTTTGAAATCGAAGCAAAGAAAAGTTGCGACGTCGCACGCGTCGTTCGCGTTGCCGCACTCCGTTGCAACTGTTGTTTGATTTTGTCCTCATATCTCGTAAACAAATATAGGCGGCACAGCCCTATGGAGTCATGTGAAAAGTGGGAGCTTAGGCCTTTGGCTTGATAACCTTGGTCTACATGAAAACCTCCTGTAAACTTCAGAAAGATCCTTTAAAGCAGCGTGCTGCACCATGTGCAGCACCGGTCCGAAACGTGTTAACAAAGTACTAACCGTCTAGGATTGCCTGAATGGCGCATGTGCTTGCGCGCTGACTAGTAGCGGGCGTCGCTTTCCATTTTACAGAAAGAACGATTTCAATTCAATTTATTTTTATTACCTCAAGCACCACCTGCGCGGCCGCCAAATCGTCGCAAGCTATGCCTCCGACTCAGAGCTTGGGCACGCACCAAACTTTGCTCTTCATTTACTGTGAAACACCAAGCGGCATCATCACACGACATAATTTCTTATTTGGTTACATAGACGTGTGTCAGTCTTGAAGGATGCGGGTCGGCAGATGGGCGCTCGTCAGATTATGGTGGAACCCCAGATGCACCGTAGCCCCAACAAAATCCGCTTTAGGCCCCGGACAGACTTCACGCGACTTAATCGTCGCGATCTAATCGCCAAGATTTCCATTCATTTTCATTTCATATTCAAAACTTCGGCCTGGAAAAGTATCACAGCCGAATGCAAGTTGATCGGCATGGAATGATGTTGTAACAGTTGTCTCGTCGCGATTCAGTCGCGACGATCAAATCGCATGAAGTCTGCCCGGGGCCTTAAAGCATAGGTGCGATAGGGGGAGCCGGGCCTTCTCCAGATGAATCCAGACAATTGCAAATGACTTCCGGGGCAAACGAGACTTCTAGAACTTTCGGGGCGGACGGTCCTATTGGGCCGTGTGGGTGGGCCCCGCTTTACCTGGCAGCTCCAATAGGAAAGTCCCCCGAAAGTTTAGAATTTCATTTTGCCTCAAGTCATTTGCGATTGTCTGAGAAGGTGGTCTCGGTTGCTCCCATCCTTGTAGGGCGAAGGGGGTGAGTAAGCCATGGAAGCGAATTGCCCTGACAAGCTACATACCATTCGAAAGCTGAGGTCATGGCAAATCGAATAACACCGTTTCTTTTCTAGATATTTTGCTCCGGGGAATATGAGCAATTTTATGTGGCCAATATGTTAACTGATTTGGTGTGTTCAAGTTCTGCTCTCTTATCGCAATAAGATGAAAGCTACGAGAATGTTGACGGTCTAGGTCTATTGATAAAGACTTATTCTTTAATATGGATAGATAATCCGGTAGTCAGGTCTTTGTTGAGCAAAGATCTGCTATCAAATATGGATATAATTTTGAAAAAAAGCGGTATCTTTGGTACAGTAGGGCTAGGAAAAAGTCGACGGTCAACGTCGAATTCCTGTTTCCTAAGCTTTCGCATGGTATATAGAATGTGGGGCGAAAAAACTTGCCAGTTCTTAAAAATGGGGTGGAGATACTTATATCTTGCTACACCTCGCTCCTGTTATTGGCTTTTATGGGTCACCAGAGCAAGGATTTTTTGAAGCTAGGAGCGGAAGGCCCCAACAAGCTATGCCATTCGAAAGCTACAAGGAATGGGAGGTTGGTCGAAGTGGCCTTTTAGGGTGAGACGCTGTTTTGTGGAGCTTGGAACGCTGATTCGAAACCCACCTTTGCTATCTGCTGCGGTCTTCTGGGCGAGGAATCATGAAGGTTTTTGTGAGTAGAAATTTGAATGCAAGATTAGTATGAAGTGTCAGTCGTAATCTTTTCCTAATATTCAGATGAGGCAGCGGCGAGTTGGTGTAATTAAATCTTATATATAAAGCTGAATGTCTGTTTGTATGTATGTATGTATGTCTGTCTGTATGTATGTGTGTACGTATGTTCCGAATAGAAAATTCCATTTCTGAACCGATCCGGACCAAACTTGGCACACATACACTACGGGCCCCGGCGGGTGTCATAGGCTACTTTTCGTCATCGATCGATATCGATTTTATCGATTTTTATCGATTTTTTTGCTGAGTTCACCTACAAGGCTGGGAGTTGGCACAGGGGGGTAATCGAGCATGGGGATTCCGAATACAATATTGGTTTTCAGGATTATCGATTACTTTTATTGATTTTATCGATTTTTTTGCAAAGTTTGAGCTACGGGGCTGGGAGTTGGCACAGGGGGGTAATCGAGCATGGGGATTCCGAATACAATATTGGTTTTCAGGATTATCGATTACTTTTATTGATTTTATCGATTTTTTGCAAAGTTTGAGCTACGGGGCTGGGAGTTCGCACAGGGGGGTAATCGAGCATGGGGATTCCGAATACAATATTGGTTTTCGGGATTATCGATTACTTTTATCGATTTTATCGATTTTTTGCAAAGTTTGAGCTAGGGGGCTGGGAGTTGGCACAGGGGGGTAATCGAGCATGCTGATCATCCCAAGGGGGGTGATCAGCATGCTCGATTACACCCCTGTGCCAAATTCCAGCCCCCTAGCTCAAATTTTTAAAAAATCGATAAAATCGATAAAAGTAATGGACGATCTTGAAAACTAATATTGTATTCGTAATCTGCATGCTCGATTACCCCCTGTGCAAACTCCCAGCCCCGCAGGTCAAACTTTACAAAAAATCGATAAAATCGATAAAAGTAATGGACGATCCTGAAAACTAATATTGTGTTCGTAATCAGCATGCCGATTACCCCCCTGTGCAAAATCCCAGCCTCGCATGTCAAAATTTACAAAAAATCGAGAAAATCAATAAAAGTAACCGATAATTCTGAAAACTAATATTGTATTCGGAATCCCCATGCTCACTTCCCCCCTGTGCCAACTCCTAGCCCTGTAGGTGAACTCTGCGAAAAAATCGATAAAAATCGGTAAAATCGACATCGATCGATAACGAAAAGTGGACTGTGACACCCGCCGGAGCCCGAAGTGTATGTGTGCCAAGTTTGGTCCGGATACGGCGGAGCCGGGTAAGCCAGCTAGTCAAAAATATTTGTTGCACCAAGTGACCACACCAGTTAAAGCTTAGAAAAGAGGACGCGACTGATTTTATACTAATCTTGCATTTGATTTTATTCACAAAAACCTTCATAGCTTCTCGCCCGCAGCAGATAGCGAAGACAGATTTGGAATCAGCGTTCCAAGCACTACAAGGTAGTACACCATTTCAAATGGCCACTTCGACCAACCTTCCTTCCCTTGTGAGATTATGGAGAACCAACATAGGCCGTCGATTTTTTTCTAACTCTTTTTAGCGGTAAGATATGATATATTTATTCGACCGATCGCCTAGCCTGACAAGAAACGCATTCAATTTTTTTATTCTATACACGTAATTTCACTAACATAATCATTAATCTGTTTTTGCAATTTTTAGCAAGACTTTCCTGGTTTTTATAAGCATCGACAACTTGGATATGAACTTATCTAGTTGGTTTCTTTCCTCACCTTATAAGCAAAGGTGCTCATATATGTTCATCTACCTCAAAGCTGTGACAAACCTTAGAAAGCCTTGAGGCTTGAAAATATATATGCTGAAGACTTTTTTCCAAAAAAAAACATGGAAGAGAGAGAGCAGCAAACAAGCATTAACCACTGAAGTTTTGAAGAAAAAAATTCAAATGTTTTCTATCCTTACATTAATTTCAGAATGTTCATCTCCAAGTTATTTTCATTTCCCAAATTCGGTTATTTTATACCCAGTATTTACTGTGGACGCCTTTCAGTACGAAAAAAAAATGCAACTACTGTAGTTCTTATAGTAATTGGTAGGAATACTTCTTTTTACGGAATATGTGATAGTTGTGTTTCACAACTAATTGTAAGATGCTAAATCTCCAGTATATTTCGATTATAAATCACTAAACTAATCCGGGTTGTGGCCCAAACGTGATGGGGTAAGATCTATTGCTCCCGCTATCGCAACTATGCTTCAAAGGCTCACCAGCCCTAGTTAGTCCCCCCGTCCCGTGCACTAGAGCCCCACCTCCAGCCCCATCATTGACGCCCACTTTGGTTAAAGGCAGCGTCCATTAGAATCTAGACCTATGGGGCTCTCACATGGAAAGTAATCTTGAGGCCCTAAATAAGACCCTGCCCACGCGGCAGTTCAGATAGTGCACTCACGGCTATGGTATTGGACTCCGAACTATGCCCCGCGACCGTATTCGCATGGATTCATGGCTCGGCACATCAGTTTCAAGTGGATCCTCGCGCGAAAGCGCCACGAATCCATGCGAATACTGTCACGGGCATAGTTTGGAACCCAATATCTTAGCCTTAAGTGCACTATATAGCTGCCGCTTGGGCAGAGTCTTATTTAGGGCCTCAAGATTACTTTCCACGTGAGAGCCCCATAGGTCCAGATTTGCCTGGACGCTGCCTTTAAGTGGACCCCGATGGGGGACTAAAGCGCAATATAGCGCGTGAAAAGGAGGAGGGCATCTAGTGCACGGGGGGGGGGGAGGAGGTACTAGCTAACACCGCCAGTATCTGACAGGGATCCATTTTGTGAGTCACTGCCTCTAAAGGCAGCGTTCATGGAGATCTGATACGCCGGTTTCACGTGACCATTGTGGAGCCCTAACTAACGCACTAATTGGCACTTCAAGAATTTCATAAACCGGGAAAGCTCGCTCCAAACCTGTCTTCACGACTGTATCGACCATGTATCGGTTTGCATGTTCGCCTAAATACGGTACTGGGGACAAGTTTGATGGTGGTTTTCTCGGACATGGATGATGGATATTTGTGCGGCCGCATGTTCAGTGCCCTGCTTGGAGCCCCACAATCAGTTTCCACGTGGAAGCCCCATGTGTTAAATCCACGTGGATGTTTTTGAATCACAGGCAGGCCTCGACCGTATTCGATCATGCGACTGATTGTGAGCGATTTGCCAGATATGTATGGATTCACCGCAGCGGTTCTCAGTGCATAATACCCAGTCTAGGTATTATCTACCACAGCAGTCTCAAATGCATGCTCTTATCAAAATGGCTTCAGCAAGAGTTGTTCAAGATTGTGTTAGAGTGCAGTCGATTCTATATACCGCTTGCAGTCAAGCTATTTGCGATTATGTTCGCTTATAGGTACATTCGCGCAAAAGATATGCTGGACGATCCGAACTATAATCTGCACGCTGATATTCAAGGCACTGATCCAGCAGATCCAACTACAAAAGCCGCGTCTATCGCAAAAGCTATTGAGGACGCAAAGGATCGACCTCGACAAAGCACTGTATGTGACTAATTACAGCGAGAACTGCCAAAATGACGGTGACTTGTGGTGAGGTGATGGTCGCGAAGGAAATACGGATTTCTGTGGGTACATATGATAAAGGATCTATTGCTTGAACATTTGCACACAATTGAACCTCCATAAGAGATTGATCTGATCGTCATGTAGTAACAGACTGTTTTATTTACTTTGACAAGAACTGAGACATGAGACAGCCTCTCTGCAACAAATTATTCGTATAAAAGACGAGAGAAAAAACTCAAGTTTTCAGGAAACACATAGCGTGCCCCCATTACGTGCTGGAAGCAACGCCGTTGCATTCACAAACACAGTTCATGAACGGAAGTGAGAGGGGACTATAAAGGGGGGGGCGCACTAGGTGAGAGGCAGCGGCGGTCCAAATAAATTCGTTTCGGTGGGAGGGGGGGGAGAGAGGAGGGCACGGTTTTTTTCTTCAATGGAAGGGCGTAGAGATAGTCAGGCCCTCTGGGAAAATTTTTGGGATATTTTCCAAAATTTCTATAGACTCATACCCTCCCGAAGAAATCTTTCACAAGGCTGTCGGATTTTTGGAAACTTTGAAAAATTGTTCTGACCATATAAGTGAAAACAAGCCACGACTGCGGATTGAGCAGCTATCGCAGCCATTCGTCTACCAATTTTAGTCATTCTGGGGCCTTTCCGTGGCCCTGATTGTAGCTAAGGAACGCAAAATGTGCAGCACCTTCCCCCCCCCCCCCCCCAAAAAAAAATCGTGCTTTCTAGGAGCCCTATGCTGAAAGCACAGACGACTTTCAGTACTTGGGAGGGGGGGGGGAGCTTGATGGGGCGAACGTGGCTTGATAGCAAGCGGGTCCCAGGTCCATCTCCATTCAGAGGCCACGTTAGAGAAGTGGACCAACGCAGATGTGCTACTCTTAGGGCCTTCTTGCATAAGCCCTCTACCTGAAACAATTTTGAAAAGTACGGAATTGTTCCACTGGTTTGAGGACTTGTGGCTTTCTTCATTGCAATGGATGCAACTCACCGACTCACGATCACGCAAAGCCCTATGTAGGGGGCTCGCTTGCCATAGATCAGGTGGACCATGACAGTCCATTGATCTACAGATAAATCTCGAATTTAGAGCATTGTACTCTTTCACTATCGAAAATCGTGTGCACCGGCAGTGCTCTGCCTACTCTATTTTGGTGCACTCGTTTCTCATAGAAGCTGCTGTGGAACATAGTGTAGGCCTTCGACGTCAGAAGTTTGCATAGTCACCTTCGCTTTCAAACAGTGCCACAACAAATCTGGAGACACACTTAAAGGCAGCGTCCAGGCAGATCTGGACCTATGGGTTTTTTACACGGAAAGTACTTTTGGGGCCCTAACTAGGTCACTGCCCAAGCAGCAGCGCTTGTAGTGCTCTAACGGCTGAGATATTCCCCTCGAAAGTGGACCCCGCGATCGTATACGCATGGATTCATGGCAGTTTCGCGCTAGGATCCACGCTTTGCGCCATAAATCCATGCGGAATACGATCGCGGGGTCCACTTTCGAGGGGAATATATTAGCCGTTAGAGCACTACCTGAGCTGCCGGTTGGGCAGTGGCTTAGTTAGGGCCCCAAAATTACTATCCACGTGAGATCCCCATGTGTCCAGACTTGCCTGGCTGCCTTTAAAGGCAGTGCCTCACCAAAATTTAGTTGCCGAGATTTTTGCATTTTGCAAGCCTTTCGGACACTGTCTGGCACTGTATGGGCTTAAAATCGCACGAAGTTCCAAAACCCCGTTTTCTGGAGGCCCCGCGGAAGCAACGTGGACGAGTTGTACCTTGCAACTTCAGCCTCAGCCACAGTGGCAGCAACAGAGGGGAGGTGGATGCCAAGTGGAGGGACATGTTCAAATCAGGGGTGCGATAGTTGGAGCCTTTCCCCTCAAAAGTGAAGGTGGTTCCAGTTACCACTGGCCGGCCAAAAATGAAGGTGGTAGTGCCGGACACACTTCCAAAAACGTCGACCGGCAATGGGGGGAAGGGGGGGGGGGGGGGAGGGGGAACTTCGGATAACTGCAGAATTCTAACCTAACTGCCCTCTTGAGAGCCATCAACTGTGACCTAACGGCCTTCTTAAGGGCCACAAATATGTATGAGTACAGCGGCATAAAAATAAAAAAAGAGATAAACGCGTTAGTCAAATGGTCTATTTGTAAGTAAAACCCAGCTAAACTTTACGTATTTTATTAAGTAAATTCTGTTATAACGTACTGCGAATAAAGTGAGTCGATCCAGGCAGCAGTCACCGAGAACCACAATTTCGAATAATAAAATAACGTAAAATCATGCGAAATTTCCACTGTTATAAGTCTGGCGGTTGAAGATGTCAGCAACTGCGACTTCATAGTTTTTGAAGCGCAAAAGTTGTTCTACCAGATAGTGAAAGAATTAGGTCGATTTGAGCAGTGGCCGCCGAGAACGAGAATTTCAAAAAATTAAGCTATTTTAGGTTACTTAGTGACAGCTGACGTTTAGACTCCTATAAATCTGGAATGTGAAGATGTACAATGTTGCGACTTCATAGGTTTTGTAGAGTAAGAATTTCTCTATCGGGCTATGTCTTAGACGTAACGATCCAATAAGATACCGCCGAAATTCAGGCTCTTGAAAAAAGAAGTGAAAAACCGCTTTTTGAAATTTAACAGCTCATAACTTCTCCAGAATTGCATGAATCATATCGCGACTTCATAGGTTGGATTCTCCTCTTCAAGAGGTTTCAGGTGATATATATTATTTGGGGGTTTCAACGATTTTTGCGGCTCTAACCCAGGATGAAGACTTTTTACCCCAAAGTCTCTACCTCGCCCATATTAATGTATTGGCTGGAGACCGCAAGTGAAGACTTTGGGGTGAAAAGTCTCCACCCTCGGGCATATGCCGTGAAAGGCGCGAAACCCCCACATGTTATATATCATCTGAAAGCTCTTGAAGAGGAGAATCCAACCTATGAAGTCGCAACATGATTCATGCAATTCTGAAGAAGTTATGAGCTGTTGAATTTCAAAAAGCGGTTTTTTACCTGCTTTTTTTTTAAGAGACTGAATCTCGGCGGCATCTCAATGGATTGGTACGTCTAAGACATAGCCCGATAGAGAAATTCTTACTCTACAAAACCTATGAAGTCGCAACATTGCACATCTTCACATTTCAGATTCATAGGAGTCTAAACGTCAGCTGTCACTAAGTAACCTAAAATCGCTTAATTATTTGTTTTTCTCGTTCTCGGCGGCCACTGCTCAAATCGACCTATTCTTTCATTATCTGGTAGAACAACACACACTCATCCTTCAAAACCTATGAAGTCGCAGTTGCTGACATCTTCAACCACCAGATTTATAACAGTGGAAATTTCGCATGATTTTACGTTATTTTATTATTCGAAATTCTGGTACTCGGTGTTACTGCCTAGATCGACCTACTACATAGCTATATGCTCTCAACACTTTCTTTTGCGTTCCTTTTGCTTATTTCTTCTCTTAAGCTCCAGCAAAAAATTTTTTCAAACCCAAAAGTAAAGGTGGTCATACCGTACCAGCTCAAAAGTGAAGGTGGGCGGAGACTCGACTTCGACTATCGCACCTCTGGGCGAATTTTTCTTAGCGTGGAGGGGGTCAAATTGAGTGGGACTTGCTGCAATGGCCTATTTAGAAGTCCCTGTAATAGAATATGTGAAAATCCGCGCAATCTCAACTTTGGTGAGACACTGCCTTTAAGTATAAATTGCTTGGGAAGCTTTGACTTAGCCAAAGAATTTGTGGACGAGCTTACTGAAGAAAGGGAGATGTCTGGCCTCTCTCCATCAACCACTCCACTGCCTATCACTTTCAAGTATGGTCCACTGAGACATCCCTCGGAGGAAAATCATGAGAGCTCGAAGAAGAACTCCGTCATGAAAACAGCTTGTACTATCCAGCCCTATCTCTCCAACCCCCAAATTCGCTCCCCCCCCCCTTTTTTTTTATTGTAACTTTGTCAGTAAATATGTATAAAACATCGTAATATCGTCTGCCACTACACATCCTCAGGCTTGGGTTCGATCACATTTTGATCATGAGAGTAAAGACGCTAACTAGTCTTAGTCCAATAGAGGGAAGGAGATTTGGACCTATCAGCTACGAGTGAACAACGGGCACTAATTGTGCAATGGATTAGTTGTGACTCTTCGGTAGAGTTCCAAGTAAACAGCGTGTTACTCGGATTTGCTCGATCAATTTCAGTGAATTTCTACAGACTGGAGATAACACAATGATAAACTATTTCACTCAGCATGGATAATATGATGCTATTGACTGGTAGAGTGTAACAGCAAGAAAAGGGTTTGGACTTCTCAGATGTTTTCCAATTCTTTCTACGAGCTGCGTACTCCTAGATATTATAGGAACACAATCCATCACCATATTCATTTCGTCAAATTTTTTTGCAACAGCTTTGAGAAACTGTACGGAACAATGCAGCGAATGCAAAGATAGAATGCAGCGACGCTGGCGAAGAGTACAGAGCAAAAGAACACCAAGCCACTAAGCGGGCGGAAATGACCGGATCTGCACAAAAAAAAAACAGATCGAATGAACAGCATGAAACCCCTCCAATATCGAAAACAAAGACAAACGAAAACAAATCAAACTCTGAAACTCTCGCTATAGGGAGTTTGTTCTTGGGCTAACAGAACGCCCTAATATACACCTATACGAATCAGTATATCAGTCATTAAAACCAATAAGAAAAACAAAATTTCCACTTGTAAAAAACGCCAAATCATTGGAACTCTAATAGGAACTATCTGTACGAAGTGTACCACATGAAAAACAAATATATAACATGTCTGAACTAAATATAAAAGAAGTACAGCACTTTCCGAAGAAAAACAGAAGAACTAATGATAAAAGAACAAAAGCCACTTCAAAACATCACAATAGAAAAGGGGAGCTGGAAGTAGGGTTTGTATAGATAGTTAGCGATTTGCACAAGCCATGTTTCATCACATGAACGTCATTGATCAAAAGGTGACGGCAACAATGCAGATAAAATCGAACGGCCTAATTTCTGTTCCTGAGTGATGGTGGCACATACTTTGCAGGCTTTGGTGCTTCTGATTCTTTCTCGCGTACAATTGGTGCTGGTGTTGGAGCAGCACTGTGTGCAGCAACGGCCTTAATGGTACACCACTTGAGCAGAGTAAACCATTTGCAACATGTGATTGAAGGTTTCACCATTCAAAAAAGAGCTTGAGATCAACACTCATTGCGATTCAATAGAAATGGAGCGTAAGTACATTGACCGAATTTTTTAAATTCGCTCGTAGGAGTACTCACTCTTCACCTTTCGCTTATGTAACGAAAGAATAATCCAAAACTCTTAAACATCATCGTCTCATTCTATCAAACCGGACGAGTAGAAGATACGAGAAAGGGCTCATAAATAACTCAAATTAACAGCTCCATGCTCAGAAGCATAGAACGCTCCTCCTTCATAGCGAAAGTAAGCGGTCTAGGAGAATACAGACTATGACAACAATCAATCAAAAGCCCTTGACTATGGTCACTACCTTTGCAAAAATGATCATAGAAATTCAGATTGTATGCTGTAGGCAGAAAAAAACATGCAACGACTTACATTGATGAACGGTGCAAAGAAAAAGAAGTAGAATACCTTGAGAGCACTTTCTCTGTCTCTTTCACGCGCTGCACTTGTTGGTGGTCCAGCCGACGTGTTCCACCGATTTGTAGTGGAAATGGGACGATTCTCAGTCATTTGATTGCCTCCTCCAATGTTACTACTCTTCACCCTACAAAGTTGTTTGTGAAAAAAGTCACAGAGTCAGTCACAATAGAATGGCAATCTCTTGATATCAAAAAAAAACCTACCATCCTCCAGATTTTGAGTCTTCCTTCTTGTCCTTCTCTATCTTACTGGCATCAGCTAGTGATGGGAACATCTCGTTATTAGAAATGTCTACTCTCTGGCTGCCTCCACGCATCTGAAGGGTAACTAGGTACGGTACGTTTGAACATCCACTGCCAAACTGAAGAAAAACGAGAAAGCATCAACAATGGAAGGATACTAGGTCGAAGTGGGGTTTCATGTAAATTTATACTGTCTTGTAAAGCATAGAAGGCTGATTCCGAATCTGCTTTCGTTATCTGTGAAGCGCTTCTGGAAGTAGAGTTATGGGGGGGTTTTTTTTTTGCAAAAATTCAAGGATTTAGCTAAAGAAAAAAAACAGGTGTATGTCTTTGCGGCGCTTGAAAAGAGTAATGGCTGGCAGAACTGTAGGCTGAAGGTGATGGTCGCATAAAGTGCCTTGGCAGTAGTCATGGTCCCATTCGAGCTCACAGACTACGGTAATGTTTTTATTAGCAACAGGTTCAAATTTTCGCTCCAAAAAATTCCCGAACTCCCCGCCCAAAAGCGCTTTCCAGATGCCAAAAGCGGACTTGGAATCAGCGTCTTTGCTCTATAAGAAAGTGTACCTTTCATATAAAACGCAACTTCGACTATAGTAAATCAACTCAGTTTAGGCAGAAATAGAACTGGCAGGAGTGCGTTTTGCAATTGCTGCTCCACTTGAAATATTCGCCTACTCCGGGTTGAAAAAGACTGTAAGTATCCTTCCCTTGTGAGATATGAAAAAACTCACTGCTGAATGTCTTTGCGCAGGTATGACATAAGCAGTTTTTTGTTTCAGATTTGCAAAGTGGTCATCATTTTGATGATCTTCTTCTTCCTTCTTCTGAACATGTTTACAATTTTTTTTAGTTTGATTTGCTTTCACGAACACTTGGAAGCAAATCTAGATAGAAAAATACCTCGACTTGTCCCCATGTTCTCACAGATTCAGTATGTGCCTTCTGATCTTCGTCATCAATCTGTTCTTCTTCGGCAACATCACCGCTATCGGCTCCCATATCCTTGATTTTCAAGCCTTCCAACCTTAACAGAAACAAAATGAGACACAACCCTAAGGGCAAGGCACAGCCGTCCAATAATATTAATATACTCAATAGCTGAACCACCAACCTTCCCTGATTAGTGTCCGTGTAATCGATCCATTCGCTCTCTTCAGAGCTCTGATTGCCAGCGGTGTTTCCATTGCCGCGCGTGCGGACTTGGTATTCAACCTCTTCAGCAGCACGTGCATCCGCATCTGCCTGCAGCTGATCACTTTCTTCCTGAAATCCACAGTTCTCCATCTGTGATTCTCTGTGAACATTCACGAACAAACCTGTCTTTTGACTTTCAACTCCAGTATATGTCCGACATCCTCCATCTTAACCACATTCTTCTTTTTCTTGTCCTTTTTCTTCGCGAAAAACGCGCTCAAATCGTCCGACATTGCACCAGCGTTTTTCTGTTGTTATTGATGATGTTGTTTTTGATGTTGTAGTTACTTGCCTGCTCCGTAGTAACCGTTACGTTCAAGATACTGTTACAGTATCAAGACGATATCTGCAATGGGGACAATGAATGAACATCGCACAATTGATACATCTTGCCCAAGCTAGTGACTTCCTACTCACAAGGGAAGAAGCACCTAACTTACAAGGGAGGATCACCATCGAAATGGCCGATCACCACAATCTGCTTACCAAGTGTGCAATCTATATATCTTAGTGGGAGCTTGGAGCGCTAATTTAAAATCTGCTTTTGCTATGCAAAGCGCTTATGAAAAAAATTATGCGATTTTTTGGTGTGAAAAGTAACGTCCAGGAATGAATCAATCGCTACAGCCTCTCTATTTTGAATATAGGAGTGTCGATGTCGGGTATACTTGACACAATGAACTCCTGTCTAGTATACCAGTACTTTTATTTCTTCACTTGATTCCTAGAAATGCTACAATCATTGATTGTACCCACGCCGTGTATTTTTTGGCCTCAAATACTCATAACTTCTTTATCAGAACGCTCTGCAGATAGGGAAAGCAAAAAAAAGAAAGAAAGAAATCTGCTCTGAAAAAGCGCTGAGATATTGTATCGCGTTTTTCAGCTTTTTGATTCCCAATGTTCCCCATCTTTTCATGTTCTTCAATTTTAATAAAAACATTCCAAAGTTTGTACTGATTATCTGACCCAACAGCACTAGCATGTTTCTGATAAGAACAAATAAACTGTTGAAGTACTATCCTCAATAAACCTCAACCCTCGACCTAACGTTCATCGCGATTTCATAATTTCGGCACATCATTTGTTCTCCTGAAACTTGCTTAGCCTGTTGCGCTAGATGATCGAACAACTTGGGAATGTTCAATAGTTCGAGGAAAAAAAATGACTTCGAAGAAAAGACGGTCGGCCACTAAATCATCAGTGGATCATTGTAAAAGCTGGAAAATGCGGCTTGTACAGCTTCTCCCACTTCGATTCAAGACAAGGCCTTTTCTAAGTGAGATTTTTGTATTGCCAACAAACTTGAAGAGGTTCATCAACATATTTGGAGCAAGTTCAGTAAAAAAGAGCAGATGCAATGTTATAAATGCATACGATGATAGTTGGCTGCGTCGATGCTTGAAGAAAAGGAAGAAATCTCTATACAAACAAAGCTTCCCAACCTTGCTAGGCAAGTGGTCGCGCCACTAAGCAAGCACAACACTGACACAGACGAAACAATGTATTCGAATGAGCCATGCTTATGTTATTTGTATATCAGCACTTATCAGCGCAGCATGTCAGATTTTCATTCTTAAAAACACAATGAGTGTTTTCCAACACCAAGTAAAGAATGCAGCATTATGTCAGGTACACTGAGTCTTAGAGCAAAATCAAAATTATGTTCATGAAGGTAAAGTCTAGTTAACACTTGCTACTTGATAAAAAAATAAGAGACTCACCAAAACATGAATCTCTTTTGCTAGTCTATTTGATTATAGTGAAGCAGTTCAGTACATTGACTAAGCAATTATTTAACAGCAAATGCAGCGTATTCAGGTTAGCCCATAAGCCAATTGTTTCAGTGTGTGCTAGACGAAGCAATACGGCTAAAACTTCCTAGATTCCTAAAGAGAATATGGACAAACCAGGACGTGTTACGATTTTATTGTGTGTGATTTTCCACAGTTATTTCAAACTTAGCAGGTTCTGTTGTTGAGATGTATAATAAGTAGAATATTTAGACCACCAAATGGGACCCGAGACAGACCCGCGCCTACCCCACAATGGTGGCATTGGGTCCTGAAGCGCTGTAAGCTTGCCGCAGGCGACAGTAAACGCGCACTTCTTTCGAATACATTTTACATACTTTGGAATTACTTGACGAGATATACTCCTGCAAGTTGATACGAGCCATTTTAGACACCAAAGGACTGGATATCTAGATCTGGCTCCTAAACAGCAACCACGATTCCCTGTCCTCTCTGTGACAGTCAGGTCACCAGTAATATTACTGCACAGATGTTATTACTTCAGAACTTTCCATTTACACATGAATAACTGATGCAAGTGCTAAACGAGTCAGGAGGCGTGCATACGCGCGTATGCACACGGTGGTCAACTTGTTTAAGGCCTCGAATAGAGTTCACGCGATTTGATCATCGCGATTCATTCGCTACAAGACAAGTGTTACGAGTTCATTACATGCCGATCTTGTATTTTGGTTGTGATAGTTAATCACGATTTGCGTTGGAAAACTATCACGACCGAGTTGCAAGAAGATCGGCATGCAATATGTTAATACAGTTGTCTTGTCACGATCAATCGCGACGATCAAATCGCGTGAACTCTGCCCGAGGCCTAAAACAACACAAAAATTGACGGAAAGATGAAGTGATATATTAGGTTGTAACAGAATTAATGCAGGTTCCTCGAATTTTGAGTTTGGATCACTATAACTTTTTACACAGATAGTCTTTTCGTGTGCAATAAAAAAATACATTAATCAGCAAACCTTTAGCTACTCAGTTTGCACTATTGCGTTGTTGCAGCTTCACCGAAAAAAAATTTATAACCCGAAAACTGCCAGGATTTTTTTTTGGAAAACCTTCACTTTAAGAAACCATAACTTACTTTCAAACGCAGTAAGGTAGCCCAAACATTACTTGTTGTGTAGCATATAGTCGATAGAATAGCAGTGCTGAACTGGAGTTTTACGAAGAATTTTTTGCTAGAAGATATTTGAAAAAGTTTGAAAGACTCATTTTTTTTCAATTTCTGGAGAGGTGAAAAATAGTCTTTATGAAAATTTTGGATTTTTTTTGACGCTGTAAAGGAAGAAGGGCACCCGGTATTTCCAATTATGAATGTCTTAAGCTTCCTAAATACAGCAAAAGCTCCGCAATCGCTTTTTCCTGAAGGCTTTTACATAGGGCTGACGGATGGCAGCGACCGTTGAACTTTGCTCTAAAACATCTCGGCTCAAAAACTTTCTTGAGTTATGATTTAGCATGCATTTTGTAGCATAATTCACTGAAGAACACTATGTAAATTTGCAAAAGATTCCAACATTTTGTACTGGTTTTAGAGCCAAGAATATCGAAAGAAAAAATTTCAAGGTTTGGCCTCTTAACTTCAAAGGCATCGAATTTTTAATCTATTCATTTCCATCAAAACGAAAGAATGCGTAAGAAAATAGAAGAAAAGAGGTTTCACATGACATATGAAGCTTTCTAGGAAAATGATTTCTCTTTCTAAGCCAGCATTCTGAAGTAATTGCACGAAAAACCTGCATCAATTCTGTTACAGCCTAATACTTTGTTCCTTAGCGATAACGGCTCTCACATTCTAATAACCAAGGCACGGCGCATGAATTACGATTTTACATGGGCCGAGTTACCGCACTGCAGATATCCAGTGGCGTGACCAAAACACCCGTTCCTTAGTGTTCACACGATTGAAATCAATGCCAAATGCTAAATCCCCAATGAATAGGACGGGACAATTCGAAAACTGACTAGCTACTGCGCCATGAAAAAGGATGGTAGCATGCATGAACTGGTAATCAGGTACGTGCAGCTATTGATAGTCGTATAACAAACGTGGAGTACGAATGATGCTGACAATTGATGCAATTTTCAGCAAATCATCAATCTCTTTTACATAGGCTCTTAGCTGATATAGCAAATTTGCAGGGTGACTAAGCATATAACCTTACTTTCCTTTCAGTTAACGATGACATTTGCGTTGTAGATTATTCTCACAAAAGTCTTGATACACCCGAGCAAAGCTTTCAGGTCTTTGAATACTCTGTCGTTACAGACACTTAAAGGCAGCGTCTCGGCAGATTTTGCATTTCCCTCTTTTTGCATGTTTTGGGCCTTCTCGACCCGTAGATCCCGAATCTGAGCTTTGAAAGGGGTGAAAAGGCCTTTTTTCAATTTCCAAAAGGGCAGCTCGGAAGAGAATTTCAAAGGAAAGTCGGGAGGCCCTGGCACGAAGACCCTGCTGCCTGTAATTTTGGCTTTGTATAGCATGCACAATGCGGGGAAGCGGTTGGGGGGGCCCCGCGCCGTCTAGCGGAGAATGCTCGTCCGAACAAGGTGTTAGGGGAGCGAAAGGAGGAAGGGGAGCGGCGCTTGGCCTCCTGGCTTGCAGAGTTCACATTTTCGGCGCGGAGTTGCTGTTTTGGTTCACTTGGAGGGCCTCCTATCCATCTCTGTCAAAATCTGAGGTAGGTCAATCTGCCGAGCCGCTGCCTTTAAAAAGAAAGTTTGTCTAAGTGGCAACTTGATAGCCTTGTCTCTGGGTGAGATCGATTTTCTTATCAATGCGTTCAGCGCTCATCACACAAGTGCATGTGCACACAATTCGAATGATAGAGTTGAACAAGTGGACGTCATTATACCCGGACAGCACCTTTGAAATTTGATATCAATTAACGTTGTAATCACAGCTGAAATTGGTGTTTGGCTCCCAAGTCTTGAAAACATTCAACGATGACTCAGCTGTGAACAACCCAACATCATTTACAATTCCGAAAAAGCTTTTCATTGGCCTCACAAAATTTCATGATACCGTTTAATCACGAAGGTCCTGAAAAAGCAAAAACTAGATTGATGTTACCTGAAGATATCAGCTACACCGGCTTGTGCATACCTTCGAGAAAAAATGCCACCGATTTGTTTGCAAAGCGCTATTATCGAAATTGCATAACAGCACCTAACAAAAAGAATATGCAAGCTTATTACTGCAGGTATAAGGAATTCACACAAAGTGGCCAAAACAGCGGACAAAAAAAAAGAAATGAAAAATGGAGGTGTTGCAGGACTTTTGGGGTATTTTTTATGCTTTCCTGTAAGGTAGCTTGATAAGTTCTACACGGTAAACATAGGATAATTCCATTTCTATTGAAGTCCTATAACCTAGTTGTAAGACTAGAAGATTTAATAGGCTTGTATGTATTGTTTGAAAAAGCTTGAACCTGTTCTTGTCTGGTTGCAAAAAGTAAATTAAGATAGACCGTAGCTTCAAACTTGTTGGCCACGCAATCGAACGTGTTCTGACGATGAGGACGTCATGCAGGAGGCAGCAAAGTCCTACCGCATTTGCTTCTGGAAGTGCCTGGAGAGCTTCAGATTCCTCGCGCCTCTAATCACTTTTCGCACCTCTGATTACTTTACAAGCTAGAGGATTGAACGAAAATCTTTTTGAAGAGGATCTCATCCTGGATAAATTTGAAAATCTTGCATTTTTTTTCAATCTCAGCTATAATCGTTTTCGGCCTATTCACATATTGGGTTCAGGGCATTTACTCCAAAATTCGTAACAGAAGGAAGTATTCTGTCGCAGAATAGAGGACAAATGCAATCAGTCTTCAAAGTCCTTGCCTTCGATCGGAATAACTGAGAAAGATTGACATGTTTGAGATTCTGGTTTAAACAATGAGTAGACCAATTCATACTTTCAAATCATTGGACGTTGAATGGCTATTTATGAGTAATTTTTGAATGTGTTATCTTATTTGCTATGAATTCAAAACATAAAAGCCATCTCATAACTTGCCACGCTTTAAGAAATCAGCGATCAATTTGGCGTAGGTCATATCAAGTAATTAGGAGTGCGAAGAAGTAATTAGAAGCGCGAGGAAGTCTGAAGTTCCTTAGGCACTTCCATAAGCAGAAGCGGCGAGCCTTTGCTGCCTCCTGCCCGACCGCCTGACGATGACAAGGTGTGCAAAGCGTACCTGGGTCTCCTAGTCCCAGAATGAATGATATACATAAAACAAAACGCCCACAAACCATCCTCTTAGTAAGTGCAAGATGGGTAACTTTGGGAAACAGGATCACAGAACACGCCACAAAACAAACAAGATGGTCTGAGCAAGAACCGCAAGATCGTGAGCAGCATATATCTTGGAATCATGGAGCATGAGCCAGCTCCCGTTCTTCAAAACAGTGAAAAATGGCTGGGAAAAACTTTTCAGAACTTAGCCGTTGAGAAGCTGTCATCATCTACTTTAAGCTAAGAGCAAGTCTCTTTCTTCTACAGGAAACTAACTACTAAATCGAGACCTTTGCTGCACACCATGGAATTTCCGCAAAGTATTCGACACAAAATGCATAATGGTCTCATTCGCTATGTGGCAGTGTGCAAGCCACGTCAGCGCCTATAATCCTGCAAATCAAACAAACACCACTAAGAGATAGCCCTGAATAACAAAAGATCAAGGACTCAAGTTTAGGCTCATATTGAAATGGACAGCAACTGGAAAACATTCCAACAAACACACAAAAATGTCACAACGCTTGCACGCCTTCCGAAGATAGCTATTGATTTTCTGAACACGTTGTTCCAGCGCAAAAGGCATAGCGTGTCACTTCCCAAGGATTAAGTCGTGTATAAAGTCACCATAACACAAATAGTAAAGCTGAGATAAAAATTACCTTTGGAGGCACTTGTTTAAGAAAAAAAGGCGACGACGACACTGATACAGATTCGGTGGGGCCACTTCGCATGCCGGGTTCACGTCGAATGCGTTCAGCAGCGCCGCGCCCAGATCTGCTGCTGATTCACACGGTCGTTCGTGCTGGGAACCAGGAATGTTCGCATGAGAGTCCTTTAATGAAACGATGCGAACCGGTTTACGAAGGCAGCGGCGCCGTCATGGTTATCAATTTCGACAACTTGGCGAAGAACATCGCAGAGACCTGCACAGAAAGCAAGAAAAGCTTGGGGGTTGGTGGAATTTTTGGTCACCCGTTATTCACCGTGTTGGTATCGAATGCTTCCAGACTTGAATTTGGCGATAGTCATTGTGCTGATCATGGCTTTTCCAACGAGTTTAGATTGTTGCGAGTGTATGCAAATAATTGGACTTCTAGCAGTTTAGTCTCAGGCACCTGTCATACAGAAACCATTATTCGTCGGATTCCAGCGTCGACCTTATCTACAGTACAGTCGAGTAGATTTCTCGCTTAATGTAGTGTGCTTGCACAGAGGGTGTGCTATGAAATTTACGCGTGAATAAATAGCCACGCCAGTACTGCCGGCATTTTGCGCCCGCAACTAGCCGGCGTCACAGTCGAAAGTATTTGTTTACGCGCAAATTTTACCGCATTTCACCTTCTGTGCAAGCACACTGCCTAGGTGACGCGACCAAAAGGGCAACCTAGCTGCCTCTCGACTTTATTTTTGACTAGCTGGCTTACCCGGCTCCGCCGTATCCGGACCAAACTTGGCACACATACACTTCGGGCCCCGGCGCGTGTCACAGTCCACTTTTCGTTATCGATCGATGTCGATCTTACCGATTTTTATCGATTTTTTCGCAGAGTTCACCTACAGGGCTAGGAGTTGGCACAGGGGGGAAGTGAGCATGGGGATTCCGAATACAATATTAGTTTTCAGAATTATCGGTTACTTTTATTGATTTTATCAATTTTTTTGTAAAGTTTGACCTGCGGGGCTGGGAGTTTGCACAGGGGGGTAATCGAGCATGCAGATTACGAATACAATATTAGTTTTTGGAATTATCCATTACTTCTATCGATTTTATCGATTTTGCAAAATTTGAGCTAGGGGGCTGGAATTTGGCACAGGGGTGTAATCGAGCATGCTGATCACCCCCTTGGGGATGATCAGCATGCTCGATTACCCCCCTGTGCCAACTCCCAGCCCCCTAGCTCAAACTTTGCAAAAAATCGATAAAATTGATAAAAGTAATCGATAATCCTGAAAACCAATATTGTATTCGGAATCCCCATGCTCGTTTACCCCCCTGTGCCAACTCCCAGCCCCGTAGGTGAACTCAGCAAAAAAATCGATAAAAATCGATAAAATCGATATCGATCGATGACGAAAAGTAGCCTATGACACCCGCCGGGGCCCGTAGTGTATGTGTGCCAAGTTTGGTCCGGATCGGTTCAGAAATGGAATTTTCTATTCGGAACATACGTACATACATACATACATACATACATACATACAGACAGACATACAAACAGACATTCAGCTTTATATATAAGATATCACATCATAGAGTCATTCTCCAACTAATATTATGTGCTATTTACCCTCTAGATAGTTTGTTTAACAATTACTGAGGTTCATTAATCCATGTGGACATGTTTTTACGAAAAGGGGACCGACACTGATCATGATAGTGCATGACGTGAAAATATCATATAGCCAGGGTTGAGCAAGAGGTCAGGCGCAAGTCCTTCAAAAACGACCCTCCCCCCCCCCCCCCGTGAAAGCCCCTAAAATGACCCCTCCGCTTCACTTCCAGGACCTTAGACTGTGATGTTTTTGAAGAAGACCAGCCTTTACTGGAGGACTCTTGTTTTTTGGCCGTAGGCCCAACTCTCCGCGATTGCACAACCACACGCAAATTGACGGCAAGTTTTGGACTTGGATGGCCCTCTTTTCAGAGTTATAGTTTTTGCAAAGATGGAGTATTTGGCTCCAAATTTTCAATATAGCAAGGAGAGGCTTTGCGCTCAATACTCTTAATAAAAACGAGCGATTTTTGAATATTGAAGGCAAGTTAAGGGGGTCAGGCGCAACACCCCAAAAGCTCAGGCGGCCTGACCTTTTGAGGGGTTGCGCCTGACCCTATTAACTATTTTCGAGGAAGCTTTTCTATCCAAGTTTTATGTGATTCGCTAGCACAACTCTCGAAGATTCCATAATAAGTGTTTGAGCTTGTTTCGACTTGTTTCGGCCTTGTAGTAATCCGTAGAGTTATAACCAGGGTTGAGCGTGGGGTCAGGCGCGCCCGACCTGGGGGGTCGTACTGGGGTAAGACAGAGGGGGGGGGGGGGTCGTGATTAGGAATCGAATTCGTTCGATTGAGGAGATACTACGATTAAGGTGAAGAAGAAAAGCGCTAGTTTAGTGGATATCGCGACCTCACCAGTACTGAAGGAATGAACGGTCTTAAACAGCATACTGATTGATTCCACAATCGAAGTTTCGGCCAAAACTCAAATCTTCATCTTCTACCTTGACATATTATAAATTCATCAAGGAAGCTTGCTGTGTGAAATGGGTATCATTTCCGAGCACGTCAAATTACCTCTATGAGCCCTACAAACCATTATTTACTGCATTATCTAGTGTTTCTCAACGACTAAAAAGCGTGATTTTCAAACATGATTAACTTGTTTTCAAAAGTGAGAAAAGTCAATTTTTTTTATACTTGTAACAAGTATTGTTCCCTACTAGTCTAGGCTAAAAATCGCGCTTTGTATCGCTTGCAAATAGTGGAGTAAGAAATAATGCCAAAATTCCGACCGGCGCGTTTTTCGCCATGACTGCTTCAACTCCACGGATTACCACAAGGCTGAAACAAGTCGAATCAAGTCCAAACACTTACTGTGGAATCTTCGAGGGTTGTGCTAGCGATTCACATAAAACTTGACTAAAAAGCTTCTTCAATGATAAAGTTAATCGGGTCAGGCGCAACCCCACAAAAGGTCAGGCCGCCTGAGCTTTTGAGGGGTTGCGCCTGACCCGATTAACTTGTTTTCAAAATCTAAATATCGCTCCATTTCTGCTATAAGTATTGAACACAAAGCCTCTTCTTGCAATACTGCAAATTTGGAGCCAAACAATACACCCCTGTGTGAATTATAGCTCTAAAAGTAGGGCTATTCAAAATCCAAAACTTGCCGTCAAGTTGCGTGTGCTGTGCAATCGCAGAAAGTCGACCTACAAATCTCCAAAAAGCAAGAACCTCCCAAAAACGGCTGATCTCTTCGAATTATTACAGCCTGAGGTCCTGGAGGGGCTTTCACTGGGGGGGGGGGTCGTTTTGGAAAGACTTGTGCCTGACCTCTTGCTCAACCCTGGTTATAACACTTAATATGAAGAAAGCGCCGGTTGGAAATTTGGCAGCACTTCTTACTTCACTATTTGAAAGCGATATGAAGCCTGATTTTTAGCATAGACTTATAGGCAAGGTTACTTTGTTATGAGTATAAAAAAGCTGACTATTTTCACTTTTGAAGCCAAGTTAATCATGTTTGAAAATCACGCTTTTTAGACGTTGAGAAACACTAGGAAGTGCAGTAGGCAATGGTTTTTAGAGCTCGTAGCCGTAATTTTACTTGCAGATTACGGAAATGATACCCATTTTACACAGTATACTTTCTTAATGTCCTTACGAGATGTCAAGGTAAGGCATAAGGACTCGAATTTTGGCTAAAACTTCGATTGTGGAAACCAGCAGTATGCTGTATACGACCGTCGTTCCTTCAGTACTGGTGATTGCGATATCCACCGGACTAGCGCATTTCTTCTTCACCTTCGTAGTATCTCCCCAACTTAACGGATTCGGTTCTTAATTACGACCCCTCCCCTCAGTCATACCCCCAAGACGACCCCCCAGGTCGGGCGCGCCTGACCTCACGCTCAACTCTGCATATAGCATATCTGTGGCTTTTGTGAATGTTGAAGAGAAACTGTTCTTAGTGTGGCATAACTTTATCTCCTTGCAAGAACATAAGACAGTAGGGAAAGGTATAAAAAGAAGAATTTTTCGAATATTTTCTTTCGATAGAGGCACTTTTTAAATGTTTCGATCTTCATTCCGTATATCCCAGAGAAACATCGGCATCATCGGTCAGAACTGCGGGCATTGTTGTGTTAAATTACCAAAAGTGAACTAAATTTCAGCAATCGCTGAGGCTCCCGCCAGAGTGCCGAAGTTATGCCAGCGCTACGCCAGCATTTCGATCGATACACGTGTATTTCGTTGGGGACGTCAGCTAGCCCCGCCCAACGAAACACACGTGTATCGATCGAAATGCTGGCGTAGCGCTGGCATAACTTCGGCACTCTGGCGGGAGCCTGAGGTAGCCGTGAGCGACGCGTCACTGCAGCCGTAATCGCGGTCAATACCTGCGGCCGATGAATTACCTGTACACATAGATAAGCGGATCCAATGTGTGAGAATTGCATTTCATAAGGATTTACACACATCTCAACCAGCAAAACTGGGTCGGTTTTGAACTCCTGTAAGATCTGGATTTGTTGGATCCAATCTACAGTCTTGTTCATCTCGAGAACTTGCTCGAGAATTTAGTTCTCAAAAGAAGAGGGTCAAGTAATTTTATGTTTAAATCATTGTTTCTCAAAAAAGGTGCGTATTTGTTGCAGATGTTCGCGCGCGGCTTCACCTTTCGGCGCCTCAAAAAATATGTTCCTACTGTTGATTGTTATAAATCTCTTATCATGAAGCCTTTCGAGACATTTGAGTACCATTCGTAGACCTGACTTCAATCTAGGTTTACAGTAAGGGTCGAGTTCCGCGCTCTTCATTACTGTAGGATTACAGTGGGAATTTTAGCTTATAGCGTCATTGTGGATTACCCATGTTTCGAAAAAAATTCCGAGAGATGTGAAAAGTTGTCCCAGGATATTCACGCACGCTGACTTTATTACTCAACTTTTTACAAGTTTTCAAAGCTTTGAAATGGTATGATAACACATTTGCGGAGGATTTCAAAAACAGCTACTGCGGTTTACTTGGCATGGCTTTTGAACAAAGTATTGAGGAAAAGCGCACCGAAATAAGGCTTCTAGTGACCATTTGACGTAAACCCTTATCGGAATCCTACCGTATTCCTGCAGTAATGAAGAAAGATCGATAATTCGCTCTATGCTGTAAATCCAAATTAAAGCCACTTCTACAAAATGGTACCTAAAATTGTCCAAGGACTGCGTAGCTCAACTAGTAGGCACATTTTTTGGGACACCCTGTGTAGTCCTCCATCCTAGTGAAATGTCTTCCCTTATAAGTGTTTCCTGTCAAAAAGTCACCGGTACATGGCAAACCTTTGCATTACCCAGTGAGTCTATGCATGCCTTACAACGGGATAGATTTGGCAGCGCAAAGACTGAAGCTTCTCTATTTGAAATGTTCAATTCTGGTGCTTGTGATTATGGTCCGTCGCAAATAAGCTAAGGCCATCCCAGCACGAAGGCGCAAAACATCAGTTGTGCGGGGCGAACGCGACGTGGGCTTATCTTTATCGTTTTGAATCCTGCTCCTCATGCGCTCTGCGGCTAACAAAGCCGCGTTCGCATCCAAATATACAGTCGGTTTCACCCCGGATTAGGCGGAACATCCCATAAGGAGGGGCGCGTACGCACCGCCGGAAGTCTCGCGAGCGCATAGCGCTGGCATTTTGCCAAGCAGGGACTGAGGAGAAGGGAGAGACGCAGACCTCGGTTCTCAGCACGATATGATGTACTGTAGCTGCGAAACGGAGCGAGCTGTTGCGAGGCGGACGCCCGCCATTCCAATTTCCGCCTAATGCGGGCCGAAACTTACTGTATTTTGCGCCTTCATCATGCAGCAGCCCATAACTGCATGGGAAATAAGGAGTAAAAATAGAAAATAGAGAATAGAGGCTGCTATCTATTGGCGGTACTGCGAAGTGTTTTTCTAGACAAGCTTCACTTCTTCAATTTCCTATATTCTTTAGAGATTTATAGAAAGGTCCCTCGAATTGTTGGTAAGAAAAGAAAAAGGTGCCCACAAGGAAAGTTCGCTTGGTGGAAGTGACGATTCGAAAGATGGTGTATACCATGGATATAGCTTTAGACGCTAGTATCAGACATAACTTTTATATCTGCGATGCGCTTTTCTGAAAAAAAATTGCGAATTTTTTGAGCCAAATTTTCGTGGAGTTTTAGTGGTAAAATCACGGTAGTTTTCAAGCAAAAGTATGCAGGCTCAAGCAAAGCACCTATAGGCATTGTAGGTCCAATCAAATATCATTTGAACGTTAGCGTTGCCCATCCTTGCGTTATTCATAAATTGTCATTTTCCTTCTGGACCGAACTTCCGTTATATAATAGATACAAAAAAGCCCATAAAATTCTGTGCAAAACGCTTCGCAAATTGGAAGCTACACTGAGATCAGCGTTTCAAGCTCCATCCATACGTATACATCACCTTCCGAATCGCCACTTCAACCAAGCAAACTTCCCCTGTCAGAAAGAAAAGGCCACTTTTGATTTCACTTTCAGTCCCAGTATTCGAGACAGGTGACCTGTAATTGCCCAGAATTGGTCCTTTAATTAATAACTCTCGCTAAGCGTAGTTATTTTATTCAATGCAATAAATTAAACATATATTTACAACTAAAATACTACTATGGCCACATACATGAGCGATCAAAAGAAAGAAAAATACAGCACCGAAGCAACGACAAATGAATCGAATTTCAATAAATGTAGCATACGTAATCTAAATTGAAAACGTACTCGTAGACATAAAGATCAGTCTGGAGCGTGACGGAGTATCTGATATATTGCCCGTAAAGCATATGGAATGAACGAATATGAAAGGAGCATTTCTCAAAGTTACGAAATTGGGTAACTGAACCAGTCAGTGAAAGCATGGAACAAAATTAGATAGCTGGCAAGTTACAATTAAGACTACAAGCCCTAAGCGGCAATTCTGTTCTAGCTCCATAGCTCACCAGGTGAGGTTGAATGGGGACAAAGTTCCCCATTTCTACGAAAAACGCTACTTCTCATGGGCACATCTCGAACCTGTTCAAAAATCAATAATCTTCCAAATACATCTAATTATACTAATAATACTCTATGGAGCACATTCAGGTGACGATGTAGGGTAGCAATTTGGCATATAAGGATAATAATAGGGGAAAGTCGGATACAACGGGTTTTGGTAATAGTTATACCATTGCATAGGAAATTGCTGTTGCTCATTACTCCTCGGTCGGCTAGGGTCAGTGTTAGTGGCCCATGGAAATAGGAAGGGACTACCCGGTGTGGGCAAACTTTCAAACTTTGGTGGCTTCATTTCCATCAACGGGGAAATGCGTTTTGGCGATGGTTCACTATAGGTGGGGCTGGTAGAGGCTCGTTTACGATCGCGTTCCGAACCTTCGCGGAAGCCCTTGGCGAACGGGTTGTGGCAGATTTTGAGCTGAGTAACTTCATTGTTTTGATAGGCGGTGACGGCAATGAATTCGGTAAATTCGAATCTGAAACGAAAACTGTGAGTTTAGAAGCCATTGTTCATCTTACTCTACAATAAAGAAGATGCAACCCAATTTGAGTTATTAGGTTGGCTAATGAGTGTCGTTTTGTCATGCAAATACGGAACTTTATAACAATTTCAAAAGTCTATCTAGCCAAGACTTTATGAAAAGGCAGTTTCAAACCTCTATTATCACAAATCAAGGATTATTTTTAACTTTCCTTCATTTATGAAAGTCAATCATGCCCTTATATGACTGGTCTTGTGATATATCACTTTTGAGCATGTAGTGATTGTACATGACCATTATGATAACTGGATACATAGAAATTCTGGCCATTTGGCAAATCTACAATGAATATTGTGTTTCAGATTTTGTAGTCAAAAATGTATTTTTTGAAAATAATGCGCGGAAGTCAATATTTGGAGCAGTCCAAGTCGCTCAATTTTGAATATTCGTGGCCTTGTACACGGTTGCAAGTACCGAGATCGTAAAGGCCATTCATCGCACGCTAAGGCAATTCACTACAGGCATTGTGTCGGCGTCTCGGTGATAAAGCGCTCTTTCATCCCCCTTACCGTCTGTTATCTCTCCCATGTGCGCGCTACTTATTCGGACGTAACGGTGTCCAGTCCTTGCGCGCGATAAATCGCCTATATATGCGTACTATGTATATATTACGTCCAATTAAGTATGTTTTTTGTTGCATGGTTCTCAAAAACAGGTGAAAAATTCTGGATTGCACCTTTGGCTCATCAAAAATACGCTCTGCTTAGCGGATGGTGTCATAAAAAATCACACAAATCATGCCACTAACGTCTTTACAACTTCGAAAACGACCGAAATTATTCATTAGCCAACCTACTATTGAATTCATTTTCTACGAGACTTAGTTAACGCTAAATCGTTCCTCCGGCAAAAATTTCTCTTACCTGACTGCCGCGACCAAGCATGACGGATCCAAAGCCGGCGTATTTTGATCCATCCACATTATCGAATTTGGCATGTGGTAGATGTACAGTACCGGAATATATTTGTGCATAGATTGGAGAATAACCTGTAACACTATTCATTTTGCTTAGCTTTATTACAGTAGCTTGTATAGGTTTTGTAAGCTTTGGATAGAATGTATAGTGTGCTCAGGAGGCATAAAAGCTCCTAGCCAAATCTTGTATCATGGATGAGTCAGCTTTTTAGAAATTTAGACTGTTGAATAGAAATTTTGTAGTTACAACAAATCAAGAAAACAGGGTGTCCCGAACTTCAATTGAAACTGGTTATTGGTTAGGTCCCGTTATTATACAATTTATTCGTACAATAAGTTTCATGCACTTTTACATCTTCAAAATCATTAGAAAGAGTTCAAATGCTTTCGAGCTAAGTAATAATTATGCTTGTTTTTATAGTTTTGTAGGCTTTTGGCGGAATTATTTGTAAGATTTCAGGATGGTAAGATACTTCCTCAGCACACATTGAGAAAGTTCCTTTGCTTTTCAAAAGAATATGCTAGCATCAATGTTAAATCGCCATTTCACTCTGTCAATTAGATCTGAAGTATAAATAAGCCAATAGCTTTCTCTAACCAAATACTAGCACAAATTACGCACAAATCAAAGTTTCTGTCATTGTGTCCTAGGTAGAGCTTGGTGGTAAACTTCGCTGAAGTTTTTACAATTTTCCCATTGAATGCTTTTTCTCCTATTCCTCTCCTTTTTCTTTTAAAAAAATCATTGGAAGTTTTTGTAAAAAAAATTCGAAAATCTTCTAACGGTTGCAGAGTACGCAATCCCAAGACCTTGTGAATTCGAGTAAAGCTCATTCGTTGCCAATATAATTAGAGTAAGCAGTTTCTGCAGGACCGGATTAAGATCTTATCTCATTGTTAAACCAATAAAGTCTAATCTGGCTAATGAGGGCACTTTAGATACTTAATGTGGTTAGATTACAATGTAAAGAGTGAAGCATAGAGCTTTTAGTCGTGAAAGGTTTGGAAAAGACTATACTTATTAGTCAGTGAAAACTTATAGGAGATAAATCTCAAACTTTTTTGGTAGCCCGCACTTTCACTGTCTTCTCTACATACATTTCTGAGTTTTCAATAAACTAAAAAACTAAAAATCACTTGGCAGCTTCGAGTAGCTTTGTTATTTTAGAGTCGACTCAGAAAGTTGAAATCGTGAGACCTACTAATGGTAAGGTTGTAAAGAATTTTCAGGTTCAACATAATATTAGATGAAATACAGAATGTCCAATAAATGCCAGTAATGTTTGACCTAAAATATCTCCCTTGCTCTGATGTATTTCGGCATAATTGGATCGCATACTGTAGAGCTCCCTTTTTAGGCTTTAACTTAGACTTATACAATACCGCTCACCGAATATGCAAAATCTCCGTGAATGTCGCGGACTTCCGCGGATATTCCGGAATTCCGCGATAATCACGGAAATTTCGCACATTCTGTGAGCGGTATTGTATATTACGAATAATCGATCGTTTGTTACTATGGCTTACGGTAGGTTCTAGCATAATTTCGCAATTTGGCTACGATTTCAAAAATCTCCACAACACCTAGAATCTTCCGGTAAAATGCTTAGAAATGCTGAGGCAATATATGGGCTGTAAAGCATTCAAAAGGTGTAATTTGAACGAATCAAAGGAACTGTACAGTGGTGGTAATCCACGGTAATGTGCAATGTTTATTTTTTCAATTATCACTCTGATCTTGGTTGCAAAATCAGGAGTCATTTTCAAGAAAAGATTTCATTCACTAGTACAAAATTTCTTGAAAATTCATTACGTATCTACAGTAACGCAAAACCATTTAGAAATCCCTCCCTATTGCAAGTTGAAAGTCGAAACTATCTTCATGAATTAGTACGGATCGCCGAAAGATACCGGAAAAGGAACTTTTTTAGATCAAGCAATAGGGACATTTTGGGAGATTCTGTAAATTACTTTCTCAAGAAAAACTTCATAGGTTTAGGTTTTGCCGATGAGAAAAGGAACACCTGAATGGTTGACCTTGTTTTTAGACCTCTGGATGACCGTAAGTGCTGTAGAGAGCAAGCAAGCCACTGTGAATATGCCCAATGGCATGCTCAACGGCTAATCGGTTTTTGCGCCAATGGCAACGTAACTAGCGAAGAGGAACATGGGAATGTGCTCATCGCCCTATTACTCTACTGAGGAGGACATTCGTGACGGATTTGTCAATGGTTGTCAAAATATTAACAGAGAGATTAGGCTTAGGAGTGTGTGCATATGCCCTCACTCGAGTGGAAGCGCGCCAGGAGATTTTTTTTAGCATTTCTGGTAGAATTTCTCAAACTTACATGAAATGGATCGTTGTCGAGTTGATTGTTAGTCACTTTAACTCTGTCGAAAGATACTGTTTTACTCATCCATGCCCTTCCGGTGTCAACGGCCCCATCATGATGGGGAATGCTTCTGGATGTCGTTTGCATTTCTCCTTTACCATTCGTGGACCACTCTCCTGCACTGAATTTGTACCTGAAAGGAGCATTTTAGCTGAGAGAAAACCCCAAAAGTTAACTAAAACCCCTAGTTACCTCATTTCGTCAACTCGTTCGATTCGCAACATAACTGCATATGGTTCATCAGGCTTCATTCCAAATATTTTGTACTCAATTTTCGGAAATATTTTCCTAAAACACGATATTTATGCATTGGGTACACTTATACTGGAATAAATGGGTTTTTAAAAGATTCGTCTTGAATGCTGCAGTTCAAAAAGTTTGGACAATTTGTACACACCATGGGCCAGCGGAGCTTCATATTTCAGAAAAAAAATGTTGCGACTGTAGATCGAATATGGCGGGAAAGAACGTAAATGTCTATACTCTATCAAAATAATACAAATTTCGGACAGAAATGCGAACGGTCGCAGTGAAGTCTCCAAAGGTTGCTGTACAACTTGCACATTATGATTATGAAGGATCTTGAAAGTGTTACAAAAATTCGTATTGTGTTGGACATAAGATTAGAGTTGAGGACAGGAAGAAAGATTTTTAGGGAACCAAGAAACCTCAACCCCAAAACTGAAATTCCACGGAAAAGATTTTTTGTACAAATTGAAAAGAATTTTCTTCATCTTGATAAAAAACTAGAATTTCATGCCGTGGGAGAATTTTAACTAACCCGTTCTATTTATTTCTGCGAATTGACTCAATTCAAGAGATTTTCTAGAGAATAATAAGAGAAACTTACCGTCCACCTTTGGTGACAATCATTTCCGTTGTGTGTTGATAAAATTTTCGCCATAAGTTTTCCGTCGTCAATGTGGCGCTAACCGTTGATGGATATGATTGCTCCATCTGAAAAAAAAACTTGAAATAAAAAATTCTGTAAATAATTTTGTTTCGAAGAGTATGTACGCTAAAATAAACACTAGTATTAGAGCCCGAAGGATAAGTACTGCACTAATGCAGTGCAATGTACACTTCAGAACACTCGGAAGTACGTAATTACCATATCGGCTCATCCATTTACCCGCCCCTACATGTTTTTGGTGGTCACGCCCACAGCCAACAGCAAATACGGTAGAGGTGACAAAAAGGTACAAATACAGTTACTCAGCTTTTTTAAAAAATACGGAAGATGATAGCCCCTGGCTAATGACGCCCAACAAAACACAGCAAAGCTATAGTATGTAGCAATGTGCTTCAACTGTATTGCAAAAAAATGGTGGAAAAATTCACATTGTTTTGAAGCATTTTCGTCAAAAGCATTAAGATCTCGGAAAAAAGAAATGCAGAAAAAAATGGAAAAAAATCTGCTGTACTTGTATGAAATCCATCACTTAATCCAATGGCGGTAAATCAAAGGATCTCAGGCAGCAGGGGGTAATTGTAATAAACACCGTCAACAGAAAACAGTCATCTTCTCACACATCATAATAGATTTTTCGCATAGAAATAGTGGAAAATTTAGCCAAATTCTTTCAAATTCTTTGAAATTTTTTTTTGGTAATATCATTGAGCAACCAAAAAAAATGGTTAAAGTTTGTTTAGGATCGGCCAAAAAATATAGATAAAATGCAATAATGTTAATTCAAAATGTTTTTCCATGCAGGCACCATCGTCCATAATCCCATTAGAGTAGACTATAAAAAAGTCATATTTGCATATGGATGAGGAACCATAATAGAACTATAGTAAACTAATAAACTGTAGTAAAAGGGAAAGCCAATGTTGGATATTTTATAATTTGCACTCAAGAGATTTTTGAGCAGGTGAAATTTGATATGAATATAAAATTGTAGACAATAAAAAAAATCCTGCTTTCATGGGCATGCAGCTAACCACAAGCTTTTCATAGGATTTTTTGTAGGACTTTCAAAAAAAGGGAAACCTTTGCGTGAGCTTTCCAAAAACTGCGATCAACTATTGCAAATTTGCATTTTGGACCATATTTCGAGCTACACGTATATAAGCATTGAAGAATGTTTGAAGCAATTGAATAGATACACAAAACGGAAAATCAGGGTTAGAACGAATTTCACAGTTACTTTTGCTTATGTGCCTGACAAATTATCGGAGAAAGTTATGGTCCCGGAAGGAGCAGATGCAAATTTTGTCAAGTCATAAACAAAAAACAGCCAATACAAACAAGTCAACAACTGGCAGTTGGATTAGGCCCAGCCCACACATCGTTACCAGAGGGCGGCGACTGCGCGCGGCTCAGGTGCGAATCACTGGAGTATAGACGATTCTCACATTGGAATCGAGAAGGAGCTACATCTAGCACAATATTAGTGTAATTGGTTGTGGAAACATGGCGTTTACCACGAAACGTAGCTTCCAGCTATTCGAACAATAATTGATCATGGCGAGAAGTTGAGGAGAAAACGTTGAGAGCTCAAGGTTCGAAGATGCTCGGTGTTTCGTTGATTTACTTCACTCACATTTTCAGGAACATTGGTTAACAGAGTTTGTAGAAATAGACGGAACGGGTGAGACGGTTGAGGAAGGAAGGAGCCATATTAAGGTAGCAGCGGTAAAGTATGCTCAAAAATCAAAATTCATACACAAGGCTGAAACTTGAATCAAAATATTGTTAATATTTTGTAACAACGATGGTGAGGAGAAGATTTTCAAATAAAATTACTGATGGAAAATACCGTAAAACTTGCCTTTATTGAGCTAAAACACTTTTAATTCACTCTCAAAATTTTCGCTAGTGATGATGAATATTGTTATTTGCTCGCAGAGATAAGAAAGACAGAATGAAATCGACCGAGCTTCGGTAATATTTGGCAATCCCATCAAAAAATTAGAAACCATGCAAGAAAATCGAAATAGTAGGCATTGTAGGATTAGGCTATTTCTAAATGTGTAAAGTTAGTACTGATCGAGCTTTTTTTTTAAGTACAAAAAAATCTAAGCAAAGTACAAAGTATAAGTTTCAAAATGCCAAAAAATTTATTTCTCTTTTCCCTGTTCAGGGAAAAGCTCGACTGGCACAAATTTTACAGTCAGAAAGAGGAGGTCTTATAGTTAGAACCTACGATAACAACATTGGACTTTACTGTATGTTTTTTTGGATATTTAATGGGCTTGCTCAAGTCACCGAAGCTTGAATAATCTTTCTCATTTTCGCCTCTACAGTCCAAAGAGAACCTGCGAGCACCTCTAAAAATACTTTACTCTTCTTGATAATTTCTATTAGTAATAACATTACTGAGGTAGAAAAATTTACAATTTTCGAAAATGATGCAAACGAACTTCTAGTTCACCTAAATTGTACAGGATGTCCCAAAAAGATATGAACATTGTGTGATCGACAGTAACTCTCTTGCTTAAGTCTTTCGCCGAATTTGAGTTACCATTCTGTAGAGCGAGGTTCAACTTAGGGCCGCATGCATTAACATCCCTCCGGGGAGGGGATCGCAGCTTCAGAAGAAAGCTTCATATCCTGTAGCTCCACTTATCCAGATTTCACGGTTCATCGCAAACTTCATGACTTCGAAACATCACCTGTTCTCACCAGAAAAATGCTTAGCTCTGTTGAGTTAGATAAACAGCACACTTGGAAATGATTTCATTGACTTCGGAAAGAAAAATGACTTCAAAGAAAAGACGGTCAGCAGCCACGGATCACCAGGGGATCAAACAAAAAGTTGGAAAATGCGGCTTGTACAGCTTCTTGCTCCCGTTCAAGATGTTCATGGGAAGGATGGTAGGAGTACTTACAGATAGGCAGACAATGTAAAGTCCAGAAGTTGCTGCTGACCATCTTTTCTTTGAAGTCATTTTCCAGAAGTTGGAGCTTCAGGATATGAAGTTTCATTGAAGCTGCAACCCCCTTCCCAGCAGGGATGTTAATGCATGCGGCCCTTATCACAGCGGCCGAAGCACCAAAACTCTTCATTAGTGTAGGATTACGGTATGAACATTCAAGTGCCAATGTGGATAGGAATAGGAAAAAACAACACCCTAAACCTGAATTTACTTCTTAAAAGGCATTAGGGTGAAGTACAATTTTCATACTTAGAATCAGCGATTTCGATTAGTCCAGTACAAGATTCTGGCTTGTTTGGTTTCTCCTCTGAGACAAAAATCGCTTTCACTTCCTTAAGATTTTTCTCAAAGTTCTACCATAATCACACGCTAACGAAGAGTGATTGATGAATTCGCCCATACTGTAAACCTAAGTAAATATAAGATGAATCTCGCTCTACAGAATAGTACCTCAAGCTCGGCGAAAGATATGACAAAAGCGAACTCTGCTATATGTTACGCATGCAATCCGATTTTAACAATTTTGAGAGCATGTCGCAATCGCCTTCTTTGAAAGTAATTCGCACTTATTTTGAAATAAAAAATGATCCACGAGAAATTATGTAAGGAAGTTTGAAAGAACTTTGCTGGCTTGAGATTTTTACAGTAACTTTATGCCATACGCAAACGAGTAGTGTTCAAACTGCTTTGCCCTTCAGCCGTAAGTTCGAAATAATGAGTGAGAAAATAGAAAGTGAATATTACGTAGATTTTTAACGAAGACAAAATGGCCGATAGCAGCAGTTCGCTAGGAATTGGGTCAGAAAACTGATCCATGTCTTATATGCCCTAATAATTTGCAACAAAAGAATGCACTGACTGTTAGAGGAAAACGTGAATGAATGATGTTCTAAAGAGGATGAATCTTACGTAGAACGGCAATAATCATGCATTTCAAAGATTATTAGCACTCCGTGTGGTAATAAAACTTTTTCTGAAAGAACGTGGGACATCGTCATGGCAAGTTTGAATTTACAATTAATGCAAGATAGTCGGTTGCAACTAGGAGTTAGAGGCAAGGAAATCTTGAAAACAGGGCTCAGCACAGCTGGCACCGGGTCAAGCTGGATATCGTTTTTAGGGCGGAAAGCAAAGGGGATATCGTTTCTACAGGGGCCGAGGCGGAGAACTGCCGCAAAAATGCCGCCGGCATGCCACCGGCATGCCATTGGCAAGCTGGCCATCAACAAACAAAGGCGTTATTTTCAGCCAAAACGCAATAGTATGACACCAAATTTGGTGTGTGCATGCGCGTTAGTGGACCGGAACTATGGGCCAAAAATTTATGAAAACTTATGTGAATGAAAGCTGTGCCGAACTTTTTTCTGAATTAGCTGGCACCGTGCCAGCTGGGTGCCAGCTGAGCTGGCACCGACACTTTGCTCACAAAAGTTTTCATACTTTTTTACATAAAATGTATCTACACTGTAAAAGATTACATACGGAGAAGAAACAGTTTCATAATGTTCTCTTTCCAGCGTTTTAAAGCAATTTGAAAACCACTCGGTCCGCTTCGCAGTTGAAAAATCGCCTTTTCCTGCTTTTCAAGATGTGATTAGACCACTTAAAAAGCTCAGAAAGCTGTGAAAAGTTCTTTCATGAAATCAGAACTGCATGAAAACACTACTACATTTTTTTACATAATATAAAAATGATGACGGGTTTTCAAAATAGGTCAAAAGAAACTTCGTACGAGATTTTCAATATCAAACGGGACTTCGTTTTGAAATCTCCCTGGTGCCAGCTCGTGCCGAGCCCTGCTTGAAAAGTTTGGAGATATTGATTGATTGTGTTTAAATAATATCTGCTAGGATCTGAGATCATCTGAGAGACCTATACTCTAATTCCCCTGATGGCAGAAAATTGCAAAGTGTAAACAATACAAAGATGGTTGAGTCGAATCTTATTTTTCTTTCAATTGCAGAGATGTGGAGTTGAGTTACATGCAAAGGAAACCACGTCCACACAGAAGATGGTAAACTCACAATCCATACAGAAAACTTATGAGTAGCGATAACATTCTCGTCGGAACAATTTGGAAAA